TAATTTTTCCATCTCTTGTAGAATAGAGCATATATGGAGTTTATACCAGATTTTAAAACAAAAATGATTGTCTAAAAGAGGAATCTAGGAGCTCTCCCTTCTATGAAAGTAAATTTCAGCACTCAGAAAAGAAGATCCAAGTATCACTTACCAGTATTACCTCCACTGACAGCATGCTCAGACTGAGATAAGAATCAGAGCATTTCACACCCATGAGTGGTTTTCTTCAGAGGGGAATGAGCTTCTCAAGATACTCCAGGTAGGGCTGCTCACCCTGCAGTGAGGGTCAGGGTTTCAGCACTGGATTTTGAGAGACAAGCAAATTCAGCTACTAAAACACGGTATTCTCTTCTAGTTTTTACACCAGTGTTTGTACAGACTGGTTCCAGGTGCCATGGGGGAAGCAGCTGTGACACAGCCCTTCCTGCCAGTGAGTGTCAGCAGGATTTGGGATCTGGATGTAAACTTCCAGCTCTTTGCAGCAGTAGATACCTGGGAAGCAATAATCATGCTGTGCCATAGAATTTTACTCAGGCACAGAGGATGAGGGTCTGTTCCCAATCCCAAGGCAATCAGTTAATGAACTCTTATTTGTTTCTTACAAATGGTTAGTCCTTTGTCAGCCTTTGTTAGTCTGTTTGCCAACCCACTGTCCTGACGTCTAGACCATGTCTAGACTACTGGGCCAGACCTACTGTTAGCTGGTTAAAAGGATTCAGGACAATTTTCCTCAATATTTTTTGTATTTGCTTTCACATGCTTCAGGCAAATTCTTGCACCATCAGCACCTGTAAGCGGAATCCTCTTGAGCTGATTATTCCTTGGCAGGAACTTCTCCCGAGGTCACTACAGGTTTTCAAGACTGAATGCCTCTCTGATGTGCTTCATGCCCACAGGGTTAGTGACACTGCTCTGAGGTCCATCGTACCTAAGGGTTCTGTTTACTTCAGCAGTGCACATTTCTCAATAGTTCCTAAGGCATCTGTACTGCTATGGGACTGTTTGGGTGATGAGAAAATTTGCAGTGCTTTGCTCTGAAATGTCTGAAGACAACACACCCAAAAGGCAAAAAGGTCTTGAGAACACATTCCTGCGAGGTTTGCAGGAGGACCCTGAGTCTGTAAGTCAAACAAACAAGAAACCCACATGGTCTTCGAGTCCAACTGGATCAACCCTTTTTCCTCAAGGGGTAGAAATTTCAGCTGACCTGCTGGTGACTCCTCACTTTTGTCTCATGTAAAAGTAAAACAAGCTCCACACAAGACACTGTATAGTGGGAAAGTGAAATCTCAAGTTTTCCTGCTAACTTTGAGACCTTTCCTCTGGCACCATATGTTTTCAAAGAAAGAGAAGTTGCTACAGGCCAGTGTATTTCAGCCTTCCCTGCTGTTCCTCTGATTCAAAGCAGATCTGAATTGGCTGCATCAGATATATTTAAGAGTGAAGAGTAAAGGCACATTGCTTTGGACTTATTTCTGTAGTGCTTCTTGGGATGGATGCCTTAAAGTCAACAGACATTTGGCCACTGACCAGAATCCAGCACTCAAGGACAGTGGAGATTGTGGACACGTCTACATTTTGGTTCAGTTTAGGGTTGAACATTTGAGCTGAATCTCCCAAGCATAGCAGTAATAATTAGTTAAAAGTAGGATTCCTGATGAGCAAAAACTATAAAACTGAAGGAATAAATTCCTAGGTACAGCTTCACTTCTCACATAGGAATAACCCAGCACAGGACTAGAAATAGAGACATTTCTTCCATAGTTGTGTGGGTTCAGCGAGAGCTGTGGATACCAATGCCCATCCTGCCTTTTCAACACCTGTATGAACCTTGACTCCTGAAAAAACGACAACAGCTATTTCATTGTAACCCTGTGTGCTTCCTCTCTCCTGCTCACTGTTTCCAGCTGAAATTTCATCTTTCTTTGCTTCTCCCCAACTTCCCCCGTGTTGTGCCCAGCCTATGGAGGCCCTACACCACAAATACAGGACAGGCTGCAATTCAAATCTGAAAGTTACTAAAGTGCTTATGCAAGTTAATTACTGTGTCTGTTTAATCCCACGTAATGCAGATTAGTGCTGTCAGCTACTGTTGGGAGAGCAGTTGATGTAACAGGGCTGGGCCTTCCACTGGGAAACCAGAGGAGATGCTGATGCTGAGGAGATGCTGACCAGTGCTGGGAAAAGAAACCTCATGTGCTCCCCAGCTGCTGTCAGAACGGAGGAGTTGGGCACAAAAGCTGGATATGAAAATCAGGCAAGTCTAGAAAGGGTATCACCCCCCTCATTTCAAGAGGAAATTGTCAGCTTTGACCCCGTGCCCCACTTCTGCACCTTGTGATGAAAAATTTTCTGTTCCAGAAGACAGATGCACAAAAGACATCCTTACATCAAGACATGAGCCGTGGTGAACTCAAGCCACTAGACCCGACTTACATATCAAACAAAAAATCCTAATACATGTTTCCTTTAAAAATGAACACCAAGAGGTCACAGAGAACCATCCAGTTTGAAAGGCCTGTTGTCCCTTCAGGCAGGAGAAGATGGAAAGGTGGAGGGGAACTTGCACCTCTCCACTTGAGTCCAATCTACCAGGATTAATTTACAGCCATTACTCAGGTGAAAAGCCCTTTGGCAGCAAGGTGTGTTCACACAGGGCCTGCTTATTCCCCGAAAGAGTGCAAATTCTCTGTGTTCAGATGGCTCATCCCAAAAATTAGTGGCACGTTGTATTTCAGGATTTCAGCTTTTCCTGTTCTAAAGAGTGAAGCAGTATGGGTTGTCTTGATTTGTAAGAGTAGCCAGGAGTACAGCATTTCACATGACACCTTTGGTAACCCAGCTACACTAATAACATCCATTTTCTCAACCCATGCATTATATGACAGTTAAGCAAATATTTTCCACCTCAGCAGGTTTTACGGTCAAATTACAGATTTTTCTCTTTCTAGTTCATGGCTGATAAAACTTTGTCTGATGGAAGTAATAATGACAGAATATGTGATAAGGTGGTCTGCCACTGGCTGAGAGTCAGGGCATGGGACACTACACTTCCTTTGAAAGCCCTTTTTATTCCACATGACTTACAGATGCAGTAAAATTTAATCATTATTTTTAAGAGTATAATCAAGTCTAAATCACATCAATCCTTTGTTTACATTAGAAATCTAAGTCATTTGTATTTTGAAAAATTAGATTTTGCAAGCAAAAAATAGGACACATAAAAAGATTTAACATTTATTTCATAGATATTTTTTTCCTTTTTGTTGAAGACCCGAAAGCAGTTACGCATTTCAATAGCTTCCAGAGCAGCAATGGTTGTGTTCATTTTTCTGTGCCTTCCTTCCTCCTCCCAGCCTCAGGAATTAAAATGGCTACAAAGTCATAGGCAGACAGAATTTTTTTCAGGTGAGACACTGAATCAGAAGGAAAGCAGGCGTTCGAGCGGCAGCACCTTCCCGAGCACGGAGCACGGGCAGCGGGGAGGCAGAGCCCGAGGAGGAGGAGAAGGAGGTCGCGCTGATTTCCTCCGCTGTCCCTTCTGATCCCTCCTGCCTCCCCTTCCTGCCCGGGGACGGAGGGAAGCAGGGAAGCCCTCTGAAGCCGCGCACTGTCGGGCACGACTTCGCCCCTCCGCGTCAGCACTAAATCCTGACACCCAGGGACGGAGCACGGCAGCGTCTCCCGCCCGCCGGGGCCGCGCACGGGCCGCTCTCAGCACCCGGGCCCCGCGTCCCGGGCCCGCTTCCCGCGGCGCCCACAGCGCTCCCCTCACGGGGCCGCGGCGCCACCGCGCCGCCTGCCGGCCACCGAGCTCCCTGCGCCTGCGCCGCGCCCGAGCCGCGCCGCTCCGTGCGCCCCAGTCTGTCTATTAAACTGGGAAAATACAAGGGAATTCTGGGATCTGCACTGTAGGCACTGCTCAAGCAGTTCAGCTGACATGAATTGATAGCAATAAGAAACCTCAGCTGAAACACCATCTACATCCCTCAGGCCACCCCGCTGCCTTCAGAGTCCACCACCTGGCTGAGGAGGTAACATCACTTCCCTATCACAAGCAATGGTGATGGGTGTTGCTGCAGCACCTTGGGAAGCACGAATGTCCAGTTCCTCTCCATTCCTTGTTTTTCTGCATTTCTTGCTTTACAGGTATAACTTGCTTCTTTTTTTTGTATTTCAGCAAACCAGGATGTGATGTTGATCCATTGATGAACCATGACACACCTCCAATTTACACATGTGCACATTTACACATAATGGGGCTACTTCAAAACAATTCAAGGCCACTTTTAACCCATTTTTCATCTTTCTACTCTTCTGAGATGCAAGGTGGTATCATCCCATATTAAAAAGTATTTAGCTAGAAACAAAATACAATTAGCCTTTGCCAGTCTTTGGAATTGATAGCTGTCACTACAGCTGTTAGTGCTGCATTAAGCTGCTGTTCTTTAAAAAAAACAAGCAACCAAATCCCATTAAATACATCACTGTTGTTAGGTGGGTGCTTTTCCTCTTCCCAAAAGACAAATGTAATCCATTTATTACTCCAAGCACCTGTTTAGCTCCCCAGTTCCTAGAGTGAAGCAGAGCCTCTGTTCTAGGGTACTATTACTAAGATTTGGACTCCATGCAACTTTCACTTGAAATTCAAACCTTTCTTCAAGCTGAAGTTGAATTAAACTCCAAAAGCTGTTATTTCACCAGTTCCTCAGAAGATTGCCCAGCCTCCCATGCTCCAGCATCCCTGCTGTGCCCCCTTGGCACTGATTGAGGGCTGCTGCAGCCCAGCCCTCCCCTGCTGTGAGTCACTTCTCCCTCAGACCCTTTGGAACCCCACCAGGAACCTGGCTTCAGGTTCTCCTCAGGAGAGTGCATCAAGCAATCCACCCAAATTTCTCAGTGTGATGAGCACAGCCTGACAGCCAGGCTAATATGACCCCTCGAGTTCAGCTAGCAGCAGTGAATTCCAGTACCTGAATTCCAGTCAGCACAAGCCCACTTTGGTAAAAACCTTTATTATCTCACACCTCCTTGCCACAGCTATCATTGAAACAACTGATATTCATATTTTACAGGTACCATAAAAAGTTACAAAGTGTAAATTACGCTGTGTATTTCACAAAGCAAAAATACTCGAGGATTGACTTTCAGTCAATGGAATTTGGCACAGAGGTGTTCACACACGAGGGAACAGGCAGGAGCTTCATCCTGAGCGTGTCAGGCAGGCAGTGTTTGCACAGTTTAGAGGCAGAGCTTCTCCTCTTGATGGATGGCTGGCTTCCCTGGGATTACCTGTGGCATTGAGAGGCACAAAGAGAAACACCCCAGGAAGCAGGCCCCAGGCAGTGTGGCATCCCACCTGGAATCTGAGTGCTGCCCAGCTCTTCCAGTTGCAGCTGGGGCAGGGTCTGTCACCATTCCTACCAGCTCCTTGCTCTTGCTTTGTCCAGCATGAACTGCAGCTGGAGACTCTTGCTCCAACAAACATGGGCACTTCTCTGCCTGCAGCAGTGCTGGGATTGGTGCCTGTGGTAGCCAAAATGGGTCTGTGGCTGCCAGGGCTCTGGCTTTCAGGCTCAGGATTGCATGGCTGCTTTACAGATCCACACACTAACACAGAGGTAAATATCTCAGACGACACCGTGTCTATCACGTTTAGAGACAGAATTCTATTTTAAAACAGTCCTGGGCACACTAGACAATTGGTTAAAAAAAGGTAGTTTGGAAGGACCATCATAAGCAATATGCAGTAGTAACTGAGCAACAATAAATATTTGGGTTGTTTGGAGATTTTGTTGGTCTGTTATTCTTTGTTGGGTTTTTTACCATCTCCATTGTTACAAAGCAATGACAGTATCAGTAGTCATAGCAACACAATCCCTACTTGTTCTACCTGAGCCAGTTATGGTACAGAGAGCCCACTGATAATTTCCTCATGGAATTCAGAGGAAAGCCTGTTAATAGGATACCCTTCTAACCAGATACTGTCCCAAAATCAGTATCCACATATTCCCTAGAAGTTTTGATTAATTTAATTAACAAAAAACATTGTTACTTTCCATCCTCAACCTGAAGCTAATATTTTTAAACTTACAGCCTGATCTTCTGTATCATTAAGGTAATGGAAAAAGAACTGACTGAAAATGAGAGGAAATATCTCATTAGAGCAGATGATCTAGGAGAGCACAGTCTGACAGACTCCAAATTCTTCTTTCATGAATAATCCTTACTACTCATCAGGGCAGGCAATAAAAGTCAAATCCAAAGGAAATTTCACATAGCTGGCTAAGACAGAGCAACTGTTCAGGGATTGTCACTTTGTGCAATCCTCAGGACTGAGACCTCTTCCCAGGTAACAAACCTGCCATGTCTGACCTCCCTAGAAACATGCCCTTCCAGAGCTGGAACAGTCCTGATCTTAAGGTGGTGTCAAACACACACAGCCACAGTGCTTCCTCTTCTCAAACCCTACTCCTAAACCACATTTTTGCTGAATAAGACACCACTCAGTATTTTCCATGCATAGAGACCAGAGATCTCAGCCCAGGGAAAGGTGGGCAGAAAGTGAGGAAGCGAGATTCCTGCACCACAGTGATCATCAGTGATCAGCAAAGGCCTGGGAAGGGAGGACAAGCACACATGGCACCAAGCAAGCTCAGGTAGAGGTGAACTGTGGCCACATTGACAGCAGTCTGTCAGGGAAGAGGGGCTTCTTCAGGCACTGCAAATTCCACCCCCGGTTCCCAGAATGTTTGTGTCATTGCAGAGAAAATGAGAGCACGACTCAGTGTTGTTTACATCCACTAGAAGGAAGAGCCCTCTTAAGGAAACCAACTTGTTGCTGGAGGGTATTTTGGAGCAACAAGTACATCATACATCTGCTCTGTCTGGCAAATACTTGTTTGGCTTTGGGGCGTTGGTTCAGCTGGAGTTCACTCCACAGAAGTCATTTCCACTCTTTTCCTTTAACACCTTCATCTTGCTAAGATACTTTTTCTCCAGGGTTCTACCTTGTTCTCAAAGGCCCAGCTGTTTCTTCTAAGAGCCTCCAGCCCATGAATACACAATGTGTCCAGTACTGCTATTCCTGGAGCACCTCCGTGCTCATCTGAGGCAACTGAAGATGCCCAGCTGCCTGACAAGCCCAGGCATGACCTGTCAGAGCACCTCACTGATGTAATATTGGGGTACCAAAACTGCTAAAAGCAGAGCAAACTCTTCATGAACATCAGACTGCAAAGTCTGCAGGCAGTCAGAAAGTATGTACAAATACAAGAATTTATCTCATAAAAATTCAGTAATATATTACAATTCTTTCCATACACAATAATCTCCAAGACCTAGGCATTTTCACTGAAAAAAAGTTTGGCTAAGATTTTTTTTTTATTATTATTTTCTGAAGTGGATATCCACATTTAGGATAAACCTTTTCTCAAATTCAGGCACCTGCTTTATGTACAATGCATCCTCTTAACCTGCAGCACCCAAGCTATGCTCACATTGCCTTGGCACTGCAGCTGTGTCACCAGGCATTATCAAGTACACTTTCCTTGGTGAAATTTCAGAATTGACTGAACACACTGGGCTCCCCTTCCTTCTGTGCAAGTGCTTGACATAGGATTATTTTTAATTTGCACAGGATGAAGAGTTCATACGAGTCCCTCCTTCTCCTGTCCTGTGCCTGTCATCTCTTCTGAGGCTGAAACTACCAAATCTGCTTCATCTTCCAAACTTATGATCCAAAGCACAGATTGTCCAGAAAAGTCACATCATTCAGTGCTTCCCACCACCCAGCACACACATGCACACAAAAATCTCAACACACTGTTCTCCAAACAGGTTTGCTCTGCTCCATGACTTGGACAAACCATTTTTGCCAATATCCAATTCAGGGCTGAAGGCTCCTGTTTATTCTTGAATCCTCTTGTAAGTGGTTTACAGTAGCCATCTGCTGAAAACATACACCTTCATTCCTGTGGAAGAGCAGCAGGGGTGTCTGACATTCAGAGAAGAACCTGATGTCATGTTTGATAAATGCTGGTAAATCTCTCAGTCTCTAATCAATGACTTCTTGGATTTATGCTTCTGCTACTGATCTCATGCTGGGGCAATTTTCTGTGCTCAAGCTGTGGTAAGGACATCTGTGTGGAGTGTCTCACTCACATTTCTGGCACACATGAACCTAAAAGGACAACTTAAAACAGCACTGGCTTCAAGGCTTACATCCCAATGATCCCTCCCCCATCACCCAAGAATAAGATAAAAATCAATAAATCATCTAATAATCCCTTCTTAAAAGTATTCCTTACATAAGGATAATTACAGATTGCAAAATATGGATTGCAAGAAAGACATCTTTGAGCAGACACTGTTTCTTTGCATGAGATTTGGAATGACAAATTGTAATTTGCTACTCGAAGATGAGAGATTTATGTGCAGGGATGCCATAATTGCTTTTGTGTTCTTCAAATAATTTCTTTAGTTTCTGTAGATACAATGCATGTAGCTGATCAATCTCTTCAGTGGTGGGGTTCAAGTTCTGTTTTACAGGGATGGGGCTTCCCACTGTAAATCAAACACAACAGTATTAGCTTCTTTGACATCTCAAGGAATTGCTGTTCCTTCTGTAAGAGCTCCACCACAGCTCCCATCTGGATTGCAGAATCACAGCACAATTTTCTTACCCTGGGGCCTGATCCTGCCTTTCACAAGCCTGAGTCCTGGTTTTTCACTTCCTTTTGCTCCAGTTCAGGTAAAATGAATTAACACACCCGCCCCCAACATTTCAGTTTGGCAGCAGCTGAGCAAATGAGAAGAGTGATAAGCTCTAACTTGAAAGAGCAGTTGACACTTCAAGATACAGTCCTATGGGTTATGTGATGTCTACAAGTTCAACACAGTATTTTAAAAAATGTACTTTCTCACTGTCTTCTGATCTGAATAGTAAAACCACTCAGTGTGAGGTGTGTGGTGCCCTCAACCACACAGTCACATGAACAGGACTGAAGGAAATATTTATCTTCCAATTTATTCAAAACGGATATCACTGCACCAGAAATGTAACCTCAGCCTAGGGAGGGGTAGCATGTAAATTCCCTAAACCCTGTGAGGTGTCTCTGAACCATCCATTGCCCACAAATGTCACTGGAACCAAAATGTTCTCCAGGCACTGTGCAAAGCCTGCTACCTGCTCCATGGGAGGTGACTCCATGGAAATCCAGAGGGCAGCCTTCTCTTCCACAAAAGGCTACGGCTAAAAAGTGGATTGCTAAGAGAAGCTTCCCATGATCTCAGTTTCTCCTGTGTTGTTCAGTCACCAGATTTTGACAGCTATTCTTGCATTGGAAGCACCAACACCGTAACAGACCCAACTGGGATTACAGAGGAAGCCTAGAAAAACAGAGAGCTAAAAGCACCCTCAGAACTTTTCCAAACACACCTGAAAATTCCTGTTAAGAGATGTTGCCACTTCAGGTTGGATGGTGATGACTAAAGGGAAGCCTAGCCAGAAACACAAAGAGCTGAGCCTGCATTTTCCTGCTGCAGCTCCAGCTGCCACCATCTCTCAGGCCTGTGTGGTGCTGGAACTCAGACTTTACACAGATGGGGTGGGAACCCATGCCTGGATGAGCAATACCTTAGAGGTGTGAAATCAATATACATACAATACAGGATTTCCAGAGGTAGGACTGGAAACAGCAAACAGCCCCCAAGCCCTTCTGCAACGGTCTTTTCTCCCAAGAGTGAAGTTTTCTTGTGGGATAGAAAACTACACTCATCTCTCTAATATTATGTGCAGCTTTAAGGAACTTGCTTAATTTGATATTTTAGAGTTGCTTGTATTTCTGTAAAGCAGTAATAAAAAAAAAAAAAATAAAGGGAAAACAAAAGTGCTCATCAAGCCCAAAACACTCAAACTTCACAGACCTTGGCTTAGCTGAATGGCTCTTGGATCCATGACTTCTGAACCAGCACTGGAATCACCCATACTTGGCCACGTTGGCAGCACAGCTCATCACCTCAGGTGAGCTCACTGCAGCTCTCAGGAGCCCAGCCATGATTTCAAAGCCAGGCTGAGTCATACCAAGAACACCCCACACACTTCCAAGGACACAGAGACATTGTGATAGCTCTCAAACATGGGGAAAGAGACAAAAAAGGCAAAGGACCTCTTGAAATCTTACAAGTTCTGTTGCAAGACTCTGGTCTTGCTGATTTGTAGCACTCCTGTGCTTTTGTCATGATGAAGAAATGCCTCATAAAATAAGACATTTTAAGCTTCAGAACAGCCCTGGTGTCATCAGCCCAAAAAAAAAAAATAAATTAAAAAGATAGCAGATTATAGAACACATCCAATACATCTCATTCCAAAGTTTGATCATTTTTTGGCTTTAAAATAAGTGACATTTTTAGTCTGCCTGTATACAATGCAGCCATTGAAATGAAATATTTTCAAAATATTCAACTGCATGACGTGATAAAACACAGATGTGCTTGAAATTTAACATAAAAAGTGCTATGTTTTTGTCTTAAATATTTTTATTTTTTTAATACTATAATCAAATCAACCCCATAAAAAGGGAGGGCCACCTTCAAAGTCCCTTGTGGAACACCAGGAAAGCTCAATTTTCTTTAGTTCACTCAGGTCAGAATCTGGCTAAAAATGTCTTATCAAAAAATTTACAGAGAGACAACTATTGCCTTGCATGAGACCCAGCATCACCTATTTTGTAAAGGCGTGGCTGTCAATAGCACTGGTAAAACCATGAAAAATAGGTTCAGTTCCACACTCCAGTGAGAGCAGATGAGCAGCAGTGAAAGCTTTTGGGGAAAAACACTCTCCCAAACGGCCTGTTGATGTGACATGCACACTCACAATTAAACATGACAGGATCTTTCCAAGGGAAAAAGCCAAGAATGAAGGAAACACCCTAAAGACCTGCAAAGCCATCTAAGTGGCAGCCTGCCCAAGGGCTGTGGCACCACAATGTGTCCTCTCCCTTTCCTCCTGCATCTCCCCCTCTGGCCTGATGAGCACCAGCTCAGGACCACACGTGCTCCTTCCAGCAGCCCTGCTCCAGAGCTCTGCTGGGCTGGCAACATCCAAATGTTACTTCTCTGCAGAGCTAAGAAGTTAAGGTTCTGGGCTTCACACAAAACATCAGAAGCATCCAGAACCCACAGCAACAGCTGCAGAGCTGTGGCAGCCCTCGTGTGAAAACTGGACAACCCTTGGATTTCTTTATGGATATCCATAGGCTCCTATCCTTGGCAAACTGAGAATGAAGAGTAAGATTTGGCCTGGGACAGAAAGGAGAAAGGGAGAAAAGAACTGCCCCCTTTAACTGGGAAGGACAGTAAACATGCCTGTTCTAGATGCACAGTAATTAATTCTGTTAGAACAGATTTATAAATTTACAGATATTAGCAGCACATTGATGATTTTTTAAACATTTGCAAAAACACTAGAAAAGGTGCAGGGAACTTACCAACAGTATGAATAGGTTGCCTGTAAGGTATTAAGCCAAAACTGTATTGGAATACTCCTCTAGCATGAAATAGTGGTAAAGCAAAGCCCATTTTCTTTTGCAACTTCTCCTGGACATTCCTAAGCCATGAACCTTTGGGGTTTGCAACTTGCTTGAATAGTTCATTTTCACCAAAGGAAAACACTGGGACCAGATGAGCCCTGTAAAACAAAGAGAACACTGAGAATTCTACATCAGCCTGCACTTGCACTGCAGTTCACATCAGCAGCATGGAAACAGTTTCACAATAACCAGCACAGAGAGTTTCAGCAGCTTTGGATTTCATCAGCAACAGGCATTCAACTCTTCTCATGTGCAGCAGCTTTTTGGATGCCTTGGCTGGCTGGTGTTTAAAAAAAAAAGTGATTGGCACACAACTAGCAACTTGCTTTTGGCAGTATTTAGTTGGTTGGTACCTATTGCAATTTGTGACTGTTCGGAATTATGAAAATTAGTTATTGCATATATCATATGTTGTTATCCACCACTATTTCAGCAAGTCCACCCTTGTTCCACTGCATTTTTTCCCTTGGCAAGCAAAGAAGCCTCACTGCTAATTTTATAATGCTCCCAGCTGGGTGGCATCAAAACCAGATCTTGGCTTTCCCTTGTCTTTTGACCGGAGCAATGCGTGCCCTTGATTTCAGCACAAAAACCTTGATATAAACCAGACACCCTCACAGACACGAGTGCAATGCCAAATTCCTATTCTGCTGTCCGATTCCCAGCCAAACCCTGCTTCCTCTGGACTTCTTTGAAAACAGAAGCCGTAGTCCATTATTCCCAGAGGTCACATCTTACCCACAGAAATTACATGAACCCACTTTGCCTCTTGCACGGCCTAATGAATTGTCATTCAGTTCATTAATTGGCCTGGGAGGAAAGGCACTGACTAGCTCCTGGACAAACAACCTGAGTGGACAGAATCAGTGCAGGTAAACCCACCATTGTATTTAAAACCTTGGCTGCAGTATGGTTTTTGATTAATGCTTAGTTTCACTAACTATTCTACAGAGTTTAGAGGAAAAAAAGCAGGGTAATCCTAAGCAGTCTCTGAAAGATTCAGGGATATTTTCTTTACTTAAATCTTAGTTTGTGTATCTTAGCTCTATTCTGTCCCCAAGGTTTTGAGAAAAACCTTACTGTTAAATAGCAGTATTGCTAGAACATTGTCAGAATGAATATCTGCATAGCTGTGAATGCTTGAGGAGGATGCACTGAGGACAGAGCTGGCTGTGGACTGTCAATATCCACCTGAACAGTAAAAAACAACTGCTTCAACAGCTTCTTTAGCCTGAGGACTCACACAGACTATCATTCCCACATGCTGTTCTGACTAGTGTCTGCTCAAAGTTTCTTTCTCCAGTGGATTTATCACCCTGCCACCTGTAAAAGAAATATCATAAAGCCTGGTACTTACTGTGGCTGTGTAAACACTCGACTTTTTACTACAACACTAAGACAAACAGGAACATCTTGTGATGCAATAGCTGTGGTGCCCTAACACTGTGGGATTTGTTTTAATCTAGTGAAGAATTTTGCAAGATACTATGTAGGAGGCTGAGACAGAGAAATAAGTAACTTATGATTGTGAAATTAAAGATAAGTTATCTGATTCATCATTTGTTTTGTGTCTTTAGGATTTCTTCATATTGTATCAGATATTTGTACTACCTTGGACCAAAATGTCTTTTGCAAAAGTGCAGAGGACTTTTGCTGACATATTCAGGCCACGTTTGACAAGCTCCTAGCTGAGGAACACAGCTTCTGTGTGCTGGCAGCACAGGAGTCAGGTCCAGAGAGCACAACCCTCTGCATTGCCCCTTCCTTCCTGAGTTGGTATTTGCTGCTGCAGATCATGAGCATCAGGAATGTGTGCAGGCACTGGTGGAAGATTGGTCTTCTCACCTGTGTCCCACAAGCCTCTCTGGCCCTTTCATTTCCAGCTGAGTTGGAAATTTTCTTCCCATTTTGTTAATTATTAAAAAAAATACTTCAAAAGCAGAAGCAATTACTGGATGCTGAGTCTTTGGGCAAGAGCTCTGTTAGACTCACACTGTCCCACAGCCCTGCTGGACAGAGGAGAAGTCAGAATTGCCGTGCTTCCCACAGAAGCAGGTTTTTGTGCTGGTGTTTGTAGGAATGACTTGGAGCCTGCTGGTTACATGACCATGTGAGTTGTAGCCCTCAGCCACTGGGGCAGAGACAGGCACTGCCACCCACAGGAGGGCTCTAGACAGCCATGACCCTTTTAGAAAGATGAGGACCATCACTGGAATCTAAGTAAGTGAAGGGGTAAAGGGGGAATTCCTGTGTTTTGTAAGTGTCTCACTCTTGTTGTTATGTGTTGGAGATACTTTTGAAATCGATGTCTTGAGAGGCACAGGTGTATCTGATTTCTCAATCCAAATCAATTTAGATGAGCGATAGCCACCACCAACCGTTGTGATATGACAGACCAGACATCTATCAACATACTCATTAAAAAGCCATTCTTCTAGTCTTTATGGTTAAAACAAATAAAAGCTAGTGAGTGTTGAGGATCCCACTGAATTTTTTTTAACATTAACAGTTAATGTTAAAAATTAACAGTTGAGCAAAAGTTGAGTAAGCACTCATTTAGGCAGCAAACTCCTAATTCAAATACACAAGTGCTTTTTCTGGGTACAAATTAGGCTAGAATGTTACATTCTGTTGGCAAAAAAAATATTTATGAGAATCCTAGTGATATGTATAAGAAACACCCTTGGATTTTTGGCACAGAACAGTTTCTAGAACAGTTTCTAGTTTTTTGCAATCTGCGTAAAAGCAGAGCTCCTCTTCTCAGAGACCACTTTTCTCCAGTTAATAGCTTAAAAAGCTTACAAATTTCTTAAGACTAGTTTTTTTTTTCTCATTGCTCCACATGTCAATGTATAATCCTGAGAGCTGTTCAGAAAGTGTAGCTGGAACAGAACAGGTTTCAATATTTCTAATACACAAACATCTAGACCAGTCCAGAACAAACACAATATCTTATACTCTATAAATCACTCAAAAGGCATTGATACCATCTCTGTGTAATAACACACTGATGGCTGCTTCATAGTAAAAAGTTATCTAGTTTTTCTTGAGATTTTCACCCAAAATTCCCAGGAATTTACTTTTGCAAATGGCAGTTTTCAAAAGAAAGTCTTTAGAATCATAGTGAAATCAAATCCTCCTGGACCATCATTCTCAGCGATTTAATGAAACAGGGCCTGGCTATCCAATCTGTTTGTTTGTTTGCTTAAAATAATAAGAAAATTCTACCTTAATGTATCTTCAATTTACAGAACAGAAAGCAGAATGTTTGCTCTACTCAGCAAAACCAGCCGAGACTTACTAATATTGTTTCATAATTCTTACTCTTTGCTAGTGCAAGAAAAAATGGAAATAAAACAAGATATGCTAATAACACCTACTGTCACAAATTATGAAAGTCAAAGGGAGTTTTCAACACTCCCAGACTGGATCTAGGTGGACAGATTGGCTCCTGTGCCAGATATCTGCAGTTCTTCGACACTTAGACTCTTTCAAATTCTCTAATTCTATATAATATGAACTATATTTAAGAATCAATCTGCATTCAAAGCATGCTTCATAGAAGACCTACCCATGTTTCAGGGCCATTTTAATAAAGCCCTTCCTCTTGAGGATGTTCAAGGTCAGGCTTCCAGGATGTGCATTCAGAGATTCCTCTGCTCCTCCAATCACAATGACAGATGCATGGCCACCTCCTTTATTGCTCAGCACATGGGAGACACTTTCCTTGGATGCAGAAACCATTCCTTCAGGAGGAAATATTTTAAGAGTGACCACTTAAATTCCATGTACAAGTACAGTGGAATTTAAGAATATTTTAAAATATATAAATGATTTTTCAAAATTATAGCAACACAGAGCAGATTTCAAAGGTTTGGATTCAAGCTCCTTACTCTGCAACAGATTTGGGCATGTACTTTGATTTCACACTGATGAGTTAAATGTTTTTGCCTATTGCAAGAGTTTTGAGTTCTTCAGAGTGTGCTCTTCTGGCAACTTAACTCTCCCTCATAGAGACTCTGTGCCCAAGAACAGAGGAGGTGAATGGCAGCAGACACTGCTGAGAGGCAGCAGCTAAAGCTGTACAGCGGGTGCATACAAACACAGGCACAGAGGGGTTAGCAGAATGTATAGAGGACTTGTTAACACAAACATGGAGCTACAGTGAAAAGAACATCCCTCCACTCTTTTCACAGCTATAAAGCAGCAGCTCCAACTAAGGCAATGGCATGACAGCATTAGAAGATGCAGAAAAGACTCACTTCTACCATTTCTAATAACTGCATCAGCTCATTCTCTAGTAACCGGGCCCAGGCACTTACCAATATTTAGGCTAAATAGCAGATAACATTAAGATTTTCTGGTACTTCTGCTAATACAGATACTTCTAATTGGAGGCACACTGCTGTACAAGACTTTATCATCTCCTTAGGTCTTTCTCTGGACTTGGTGCTTCGCAAAATCCATTTTCCAACAGATATGCACCTAATGTTTCAAAGGTTCCTTCTTGCCCTATGTTTTATTTCAAAGGCTTGTAGTGGTCCCATTTACCCAGAAGCTACATTTTGTTATACTGTGTTAAATTAATATAATCTAAGTGACAATTTAGAGATCAAGTCTAGTTTACATTGTTGGTTTTACAGAGCTGGTATCAAAATGCACTTTTGGATGTTCTGCTCCCTGTTTGGTCTTTTTACCAATAGGGACATTACAATGTGGATTATAAAAATTTTGGAAGAGAGCTGATCTACTTTTGAGAGCTGGCCACCAAGAGGAATAGCTTGCAACTGAAGCAAGTCAGACCTCAGCAAAAAGCTACGTCCATTTGCCACATCTGCCTTCACAGTCACTGTTACTCTGAAAATGCAGCTGACCTGGGACTCACAAATAATTCAAGTGATGCTCATTCAAGTCAGCATGCATTTTCTCTGGAAAGGAAAGCAGAAATCACTGCCTTTCCCCAGGACAAATGTGTCTCCTGCTGAAGCTGATCTGCCCTGCATGCAGGGCACTGCTCCGTGCTCACACCGCAGCCCGAGGGTGCCACAGCTGCGCTGCCAGGGGCAACAACTGCACGTGTTAGAGCCAGGCAGAAAGACTGGGAAATGAAACATGGTGCCAAGAGCATGGCTTTCAGGACATGGAAGATTTTGCAGTGTTTTATGATTTGACTGGTGACCTGTATTACACCAAAGGTGCCCTCTCATTTATCAGCTGCATACCTGTGAAAACCGAGCTCCAATGCTGGCTCTTGTTTAGTGTGCTTTTTACTGCAGCTCTTTCTCATTCTGCAGGTAAATATTTGTTCCCATGGGTCAAGTTGCCAAAAACATGTAAATCTGACTTCCAGATAATGATTAAACGACAGTGTTTAAAATTGCAATGTTCTACCACTGCCAGTCCCTCACTTAGCAAGCCTCAAAGAACGCCCTCAGAAAATACATTTGCATGGGAAGGCATTCTCTGATATGTTGAAGTATACATAGATAAGTAATTCTGATATTAATCTGGGAAACATCCTAGGCATGTTTCTGTGCATGGAGCAATGGAACAGCTTCTCTGAGATTATTCATGACTGCAACACAGACACTGCAAAGTTAGATCTCTGTCTCCCAAACTTGTGCATCAGAACATGTTTAAATGCTGTAGTTGAGTGAATTTAAGTACAATAACTCATTTATTAAACCACTGAGAGGGAGAACGAGTTCTTATGTCATTCTTCTCTTTTTCAGTTCCCCCAGCTCAATTGCTTGTTATTTTCATCTCTTATTACTGTAGTACCAGTCATGAATATCACCTCTTTACGACAAATGCTTCTCAGAACAGAGAAAAAAGGTCCCTCTCTTTAGAGTTTACATCTCAATTAAAATTACACAAATTTGCAACACAGGACTTGAATCAGAAGAAAGCAATTAATTTCTCAGTATAAAGATATTTGTAATGTATAACACTAAGCCCTTCAGGTGAGAGATTAGCCTGAATTTGTTTTACAAGTGCCTGCTAATGACTAAATAAAATCACAAATTATTATGCCCTTCTCCCCTTGTATATAATGGGTACTCAGGACTGCTGTCTGATAGTTCAAAGGAAAACCAGCAATTTCTTTTCAGAAAGAAAAAACAACTCAGTGATATAGTTTACAAAACTATTAATAAAACCTTCAAAAATTTTTTTGCCACAACAGTTCATCATAAAATAGAGGTAAATTTAGCACCAACAGTGATCCTTCTGAAATTACTTACCATATATAAGTAGAGGAATAGACACTACATTTGTAACAGAAGCTAAAATATGGAGCAAAAGCTGAGACATTTTGCTTTTACCTACCAGCACTCATTATGTATTCCCTGAAGAAGGGACAGCCAAACCAGAGGGGCATGATATGGAGATATGGAGTAAGCCCAGGAAATAAATTTTTGAAAGGAGGATCGGTGCAAAAGTTTCCGAAGGCTCCAGCAACCAGGACCCCATGAGGGTGAAAGCCAAGTAAGTAGTTGTGATTTGGGTTCAGTTCTGAAGTTTTTATAAGCTGAAAAATAGAGTCAGTGGTGGGCATTATAATATTTACCTCAAAAACAACAGCTATGGAGATTGCACATTGACAGGACATAGAAGCAACAATAACAAATTTCCTTCTGAGCACTTAAAATACTGTTTCTGCTTTATAGATAAACAAAGCTTAAATAGATGTGTCAGGATACCATGTCTAGATTTACTGTGCTGAACTCAGCTATCTTGTCATCTAACAGTCCAACTAGAAAAGCAGGCCCTGTCCCCTTTTGTCACTAAATCTCAGATTTTGCATGTTTTAAAAAGAAGTTAAGTTCACCTTGCAGTGCATATTAGAATTTTAGCAAAGATGAGTCTTAGATGTTTGTCCATGGTTATGGCTATTCAAACAGTTTGTGAGAAACCTTTTACTCACATGAATGGGAAAGTATTCCCTGAAATACTTCCAGACAGTCCAGCTTCTGACCCAGTGGGACCGTCTGCCCCCAGCACATGGTGTTCCCCAGTCGAGGTACAGCCACAGCAGGTACAGAACAGCAAGGAACCAGAAGTTGCCCAGGATCAGGATCACGAAGAATCCAAAGCAAAACTCTGCTACAAGAGACAAAAAGTGAAAGGATAGCAAGCATTAATCACATCTGTGTCCTTTTAAGAATGCCTGACCTTGAAATGTTTTTAGAGATTTACTGAAAATGCACACAAATTGAACTCAGCTTATTCCACATGGTGTTGTTACAGTGAGGGTGAAACATCGCAAGGATGTAACATCTCAGTCTATTATTTCTCCCTCTACTGCGCAACTGGATGTTTGGTTGAGAGCATCTGGTTTACCTAAGGCAAAATAAAAGGAGACAGCAAGAGCTAACAAGGATTTAATGCTTTAGGGAGAAGACAGGAAAGCTGGGGAAGGAAAGAAGGGAAAGGGAGCCATAGCAATATCTCTTTTCTAATTACAGGGATGTTGGGCAACCATTTTCTTTTCTCTTTCTCAGATTCTCTACCTATAATATGGGGTGGTAGTTCTACTCCCAGCCAAAAGTACTGTCACTGGCCAAGGAGATGCACTAGACAAGACCAAAACACAAACAAGTTCCACTTCAGCCACTAAACCCATCAAAGGAAAAGTTCAGTGCTGCTGTGGGAACGCAGCAGCAGGTAAGTCCTGATACTTTCAAACTCAATTAAGTAAGAATTGTAACATCCTGCTACAATAGTGATACATAAGAATTGTATCATACACAATTCAAAGAGCAGGAAAAAGTTGTTTGGTTAAATATAATGTGTTACTTGGAGCTCAGCCTTGAAATAATTACTCAGGGAAATCCTATAGAAACTTTATCTTTGTAGAACTTGCAAAATTTTAGTCTTGCATGTTGAGCGGCCCTAGTCTGAGATGTCTGAGGAGTAGGAGATGCTGCTCTCTGCCCTATGGTACCCCTGCAGCAGCCTCTTGCTCTGCCACCTCCTGAACAAACCCCTCAGGCTCATGGATCAGATGCTGAAGTCCAGGCTGCAAGGGAGCCAAGGCTTTAACATCATAAATTTATACAATGGCAAGCAAAACAGGACCTAGTTCTCACTGAAGACTCAATGGGCAGAGTTGCAGGAACCCAACGTTTCTCAGAGATATTTTACAATGCAGAAGCAGTACTTCGTCTCAAAATTGACTGGCTTTCATGAGGGCAATATCCTGTGAAGTCCTAGAAGAAGTTACACCAGTGAAACATACTGAGCTAAATACACCACTAAATAGAGCAGATTTAAAAACAAACAACAGAAGTATTTCAGGCAATAATTTGGCTCACACAATGTAAAATATCACCAGAACTGAAAACTTTAGAATATGTAGATGAACCAAGAGTAACATCCACTCATTGTAGTTGAGATCACCTGCATTCAGGAGAGACATTACCTGGGTGTTGAAAGTCATCAGATTCCCCAGACTGTGCAGGTTTTGAGCTGAGATCTCAGCTTGGTCTACAGGCAGACTAGCATTTCCTCCAACCTGAATATTTACTTTTTCTGAATTTCAACCAGCTTGTTCCTGTGCCTAGCCTGACTGTGCCTTCAGAATAGAATTGGATATCTTGTCTAGAAGGGGATGAACATTCACATTTCCAGCAGGATTATGAGCAGAAAAATAAGGAATTGTATTTGCTCGGAGGAAGGGAGAAGGAAATGACCATAAACAAAAGCAGGAGCAGGACAAAACCTACCATTTTCAAGGATACCCCATTCTTCAGCACAGAAGCTCACTGCTTCCTCCTCAAGCAAACAACGCTGGTCTCGCACAGAAAAGCACTTGAGCAAGAGCTCTTGGAAAACACCACAGCTAACTGAGGCCCACAGACCCCAAAGTCAACATGGAAAACTCACAAGAACTGAAACCAGTTCTAAGGAACATCATTAATGCAGGACAAGTTACACGGTGAAATATGACACTCAAATTCCAGGGAATTCCACAGGGAATCCCACAACAGCATCACTCCAAAATAGGGCACAGAAGTCTATTGAGGAGAAGTAATTACCTGTTCCTTGAAGAAGAGATCCTGAAACTATAGAAATTTCTAGGAGTGCTAATCTGGACAGGATGCCAATGTTCTTGGCTTAAGTTTGAACAAGTATGAGAAGTTTTTTCTAGCAGCTATAAATCAATTCATTTGATATACAAAATTTAGTAAATATTTCTATTTCCTACCCTTCCTTTCAGAAGCACTTTCCACTTAACACAGAATCAATCACATAGCTTTTTCAACACAAAATCACATGGATTTTTACTATGAGTTTGCTAGCAAACAGCTGAAAAGTGCTTTGCAGCCAAGCATCCTTGCTGTGAGAGCTGATTACATCAGCAGTGAGAAGGCCCAGATAGCAGCACTTAATCCTGTGCAGACAAACATCCACCAGATCAACAAGCTGGCTGCTTTGCTTTAGCTGGGACACCTTCCTGAGCGCAGGCAGTTATGGGGAGATAAGTATGCTGTTAGCACTTCCTCAGGGGAGCTCAGCATCCTGGAGGACAAAGTTGATTACTGCATTCCCAATGAGACATGTGAGGCAAATTCCTTTTACCATACCTCCTCATTATTTCAACGAATTAGCAGCCTGCAAGACGAGCTAAACCCTGATGACTCAAAACCAATGAGCCTGTAAACACAAACATGATGTTTTTTCCTTCAGACAAGACAGTGAGTAAATAAATAACAACCAATTTAAGTAAATTCATAAACAAATTCCAGGCAAAAGGTGAATAACCTGGGATTTGTCACTCTACTGCATCATGTCCTTGGATGTAGTTCCAGTGTACATTCTAAGTGTAATTTTTTGGTTGAACTTGAATTAGAGCTTTGAAAAGTATCTGTGTGATATACTGGATTTTGGGGGTAGGTGAGGGGATATGAGGAAATATAGATTAAAAGACAAATCACTGACATGGAACTCTGAACACAGGGTTTGTGAACCAATGTTGCTGTGCCACTTCTCCTACATTTCCCATTTACAACGCATGGATACTCATATTTTGCAACAAATGGTGAAAACCACTCCATGTAGTGTGAGCAACCAGCACTGGCAGCCATCGTGCCCAATGATGTTTGCACACCTGATACTTCAATCATTAATCAGGCTCTGAGTTTGCAGCTGGGGGTACCAAATTTATGAAACAGTTGAATACCAGAGATAGGAAGCACAGGTTAAATCTGGAAATTGGAAGCTTTAAATGCATTTGGAGTTATTAAGGCATCAAAAATGTTTGAATAATATCTGTTGTGAAAGCCAGCAAATGCAAGATTGTCCCTAGAAGAGAAAGCTCCCATTATCCTCAGAGCAGTCATGGACAGCATGGGCAGTGCAGGTGTGTCCCTGGTGCCAGGGTGCTGGTGTCACCCCAAGCAGCACTACAGGCTCTCTGCAGTGCTCCAAAAGCCATGCAAAGGAGCTCACTCAGAAACTGGCTGGGCAGCCAGCATTTGTTGGATATGGATCAGTCTCCTGTGAGGGCCTTTGTCAGGTTATTGGTGACAGCTGGGAGCCACAAAGATATCTGAGCACTCCTACCAAGGAAGCTGCATCTCAGCAGTGCTGTGACAGCAAACACAAACACTCAGATGCCAAGCTTTAGAGGCCTGTTGATGCTGAAATTTGGTTCCAAGTTCCCAAGACCTTCCATTGGCAAATACTGATAAACTAGAGATACAGAGCATTACACACAACTGACTAGGAGGCAGAGTGGCCTGGATCCCATAAATCCCCAAGTTACTAATTGCCAAAGCCCAAGACAGCATGCCAAATTTAGTCTACCTGTTTCCCATTTCTTTTCTTTCTCCTTAGGCATTCACTGTCACTTACGTTCACATAGGGGTTGTCAAGCTAGAGTGTTTGGCCTGACACAGCAGAGCCATTTTTTCTTAGTATTTTTGAGAGATATAAACAAATACACACAGACACCTTGTTAAATTCCCTCACTAAGATGTAGGTAACAGAGGCAGCATTCCTAGAAATACTAGTCAGTAAGAACCCTGTTATTCTCTGTGATCACACTTCAGTCCCTACCCATAGGCCACCGATAAACCTCATGGATAGATGAGTACAGAGTGACAAAAACAAGTAGCAATACCAGCCAGCTTGCTAGGAAAGGCTCATGGAGCTTAGCTGAGTTTTCTTAAGCATCAAAAGAGGGTTTTTTTTTTAAAAAAAAAGACTTTGAGGAAGAACAAAACTATATTAGTTATCCAGCTACAGCTGATTAATTAAATCAGCACCAGATTACAAACCATTGTGGCATGTTTGCAGGAAAGGTTAATATTTGCTTTAGCACATTACACTGACACCTTCTTTCTCAACACAGAAACCACTTATTATTCCAGCAGCAATCTCTCACTCTGTAGCAAACGTTTCATCATTTCTATTCTTTTGGGGAAGCCAGATCCACAACTCAAAACTGTCTCCAGCAAGTTCAATTAATAGACTGCTTCATCCTACATGCACAGAAGTTTAATCACTAGAGCACAGGATGTAGTTTAATATATACCAATGTCTTCAGCCTATTATTTTGTGGCTTTGACTTCCTAAATCCCCAGTGAGGAGACCAGGGACACGGCTGGGCCCAAAAGTGGGCCTTAGAAGATGTACTATTCTCCCCTACCATCACCTTTTCTCAGAGAAAAACGCTGGTATCCCTTCTGGAGGGCTAAACCCTCACTTCCCTCTCTCATTGTCTGGCCCAAGACACCACCATTCCACCCAGGCTGCTCAGTTTTGCATTTGATTTTATACATGTTCAAAGTCCACTTGCATATTAAAGTATATCTTCTATTATATACTGATTTGGCCTTATTAAGGGTTTTGCAAATAAATACAGGGGTGCCCGCACAACAGTCACTTCCTAAATCCCCAGTGAGGAGCCAGGGACACTGCTGGGCCCCAAAAGTGGGCCTTAGAAGATGTACTATTCTCCCCTACCATCACCTTTTCTCAGAGAAAAATGCTGGTATCCCTTCTGGAGGGCTAAACCCTCACTTCCCTCTCTCATTGTCTGGCCCAAGACACCACCATTCCACCCAGGCTGCTCAGTTTTGCATTTGATTTTATACATGTTCAAAGTCCACTGTCCATTTTCACATCAGGGGCACAGAAGTTAGCAGGAGCACATAGCTCACCAACTCACCTTCTAATTTTACTTTCTTCAAAAATGCTGTCATCTAATGTGTACATCAGAGAGGAAAACAAAAGGCTAAAGCACTGGGAAAGCAGCACTTCGACCAGATCTGACTGATTCTTCTTTGTTTTATTGGTTTTGCCTTTAAATGAGCCCTTTGATTTACCTCCTGATACAAAGTGAACCTCACTGACAGATGTGCAGTACTGGGGCACACAGGTCACAGCACACAAGGATAAATGCCACACTGCTGTGTGAGAAACAGAAAACCTACACCTGTTCCCAATAAGAGGATATCAGGCATACTGGTAAATGCAGCAAAATTAATTCAAAGTTCTTTAGAAAAACATTTCCAAGTTTAAAAACAAAGATTTCCTGCAAACACTGGGCACATCCATTGCATCTAGTGACAATTCCTTCAGTGCACAGGCACAATGAACCTAGATAGAAAAATGGGGATTATGTAACCTCTTTGCTTTGTCAGTCCTGCAACACTTACAGGCTTGGAGATTTTATTTCTCCAGGTGACTTTCTGTCTGGGGTTGGGTTGGACAGTGGCACAGAGTGATCAAGAGCAGCCAGCACACAGGCTCACAGGCAGACATGCTGTGGGTGTTGCACGAGTTCAGAACAGGGCCAGACCTGCCCCAGGACTGTCAGCCCCCAGCCAAAAGAACAAATCTCAAATAACCATAATTACAGGCATAAAACTACCATCTGTAAAAATTGTCTGGTTTGGCCTTTTATCCAAAGTAGATACTATGAGATTGCAAAACTTCATCTATCTGCTGTTTCAGCAGTAAAACATTAATGGCTTGACATCAGGCTTCAGCCTGAAGCTGTTTTGGATTTGTGCTTAATACTGTGAGAAATAGCATTTGCCAGTTTTCAGTTTTAACAGCTTTAGTTTTCTGGATTCAAGACCAGTAACACTTGTCTTTCAAAAGACAGAAGCCCATTTATAATACTTCTCTCTTTCATGGAACTTATATCCAAACTTTTCTGGTCTGCTGACTCGGAGAACATAAGATAGAAAACCACATGGCATTTTCAGCCAACACACAGTGGGAATTTGTTAATGGGCATTTCTCTCATCTAATCCAGAAACTCTTACATTCACCTCCCAGTATTTCAGAACTTATTTTTGCTTCTGGTGTCATGCCCCTGGATAACGAACAGGCAAATCACTGTTACAATGAAAACTTGTCCTTTCCCTTTGAGAGTGAACTTTGGCAGCTTGCAGCACAGAACAAGGAAGCACAGGAACTTACAGCCAGAATTTTAAAGAGGTTCCTTTTGTATATAATGAAATTCTGTGCACATCTGTACAGCTTTTTTGAGACAGAGGCATGTTTCCTCTGCCTGTGCTGCACAGCAGAAGCAATGGATCTCTAGTGCAGATCCAGCCCAAGCTGGTACACTGCATGAAGAAGCAGAACTTTGCTTGTACCAGGCTGCTACTGTTATTTTTTCAGTATTTGCAGACTGATTCAGTATTTCTACAGTGGAGATGAGATTTAGGCTTCAACAACTACTGCACGTCTGTATTTCAGGCCAGCTTGTGAGTTGCACAAATAAGAGGGCATTTTCAGTCATCAATTCCAGTCTCAGAAAACCATGCAGCATTATAACAAAGCAAGCCTGGAGAGCAAGGGCTTTTTAAATTTTTCAGCCACGAAGATAAAACCAAGAGTCTTTTATCCGAGTCACATTGAGAATTCTAAGTTGTAATAGGCTCACATTCCCCTTACAGCTTACTCAGTGTGTGAAATCACTTTTTCATATGTCGCTCCCCAGATTTGAAGCATATCATTGACCAATTCAGCTTTTGTGATTCAGGGCACTAATTTTCAGTTATCTTACTTCATCTGTAAGTCCTACAGTTCATTTTACTAAACTATGCCACATTACAACATACCTAGATGGACAACTTCAGCAGCTAAGGCAGTAGTACCCCCTTTATTCACTGCTCTAAACAGAATCCCTCTATCTATATCATGAATCATTAGTTGTCATAGGGCATTATCTGTTCAAGTTTTCACATGTAGCCATGTAACACAAGACAGACAATCAAGATCGTGCTTGGCATAAACCAGTTCCAGCCACACATAAACCCCCAAAGAACACCTAAACCTCCAACCTATTCTGTGATGAACTCACATAGTAATTCACTTGTCCTGAGGCATCCCCTCCCTGATTTGAAATGTCACTACTGAATCCAAAACTTACAAACAAACAAACATCTGTTCAGAAGAAAAAAAAAAAAAAAAAACAAAAAAAAAAAACAAAAGCTGAAAAATCCAGACATAGGGGCATTCCAGAACATCAGAAACCAGCCAATTTCTCACTGCCTTAAGTCTTTTAGGATTCATCCACCTGAATTTTCCTGCAGCTAAGTGAAACTTTTTGGCCAGATCACTGGCTGACCTTTCACTTGAAAGCATCCGCCCACAAAATGACAAGGTCACATTGGTCAGCTCTAAAGATAAACATCCCCATAGTGCACAAGCAGATAAGTATTATTAGAATCAAATTGTTAACCATTCTTGCAAATCCATTTTTTCATGACCACATGAACTCACTATACTCAGTATAACCAGCCATAAGACCATTTCTGAGTTGATTTTCCTTGACATTTCCAGGCAGTGCCAGCTGCAGATGACAGCTCCCTACTTTGCCTGCTAAACTACAAAGAGGGGATTTTGTGCATCCCGATCACTTCTAGTAAGCACAGGAAGATGTGGTTTTCTGCAGCAGTATTGCTACATTAAGGAAAAAAAAAATTTTCTTCCACTGCCCCTGAACTTCCACTGCTTTATAAGACTTAAATAATGGCTCATGCCAAGACCTAATTCAATAAAAGAAAAAGTAAAGTACAGACTACTTACAACGTAGTCACAAACAGAAACTGTTTATCATTTAACTACATATAATTTCGAGGTAACAGAACATCTGCTGATTAATCTGTGAAGATGCTTCATACCCTCCATACTGTGCCCAAATCTTTCATGTGTAGATTAATAACCTAAAAAAACCCTTGAAAGACATCAGACCATCTGTAGGATAATATATTTGTAAGACATACAAGGAAGATAAGTGCACACTACTTTTTAACTTGTAAATCCTAGAGCATAGATGATCTTGAAGTGTTCCAGCACTTCCAGTAATACACAGGTAGCTCTGTACCTCAGAACAGACTATTCAATAACCACTTCCCAATTTATACAATCCATGGATTTAGCCTCATAGAGCCCAGGCTTATCTTACCATATCAAGTGATTAATTTCATCAAATTCAAGATACCTACCCATGTGAATACAATTTGCTGCTGTGAATAGGTGCTTAACGATAGGTGTCTATTAAGATATTAGGAAAATTAATGCTAGTGGAACAATCAGTAGAAAAAGATTACCAAGTAGAATTAGCAACACTTTCTTAAAGCCAGTGAGGATATTTTTCATACATTTACAGAACTGTCTGCATTTGAATTAGTTCACTGACAATGCCCATTATTTTTCATTAGCTGGTTAAATGAGAATTTTATTGAAATACAGCACATAAAGTTATTTTACGAAATTATGAATGAAAACAGCATTAGTCATGTACCAGACTTTATGCCCATCTTCGATAAAAAAATTGCTGTCAGAAACCTACTGGGCATCTCAATGAGGAGCCACAGACACTATTTTTTAGGCTCATATTTGAAACAGAACCCATAGAAAAAAACAAACCCCCATAAAAGAGGAAAAGCTATCCAAAGCTTTCCGGGAAGAAAGAAATGCGATGCTCCTGCCCGCCCAGGGATCGCCGGGGATCGCTGCTCGCCCCCGGCCGCTTCTGCACCCACGTGCAGCCACGGCTGGCACCGAGCGATGCCCACGGGTAACGCCGGTCAAGGAAAAAGCCGCTTCTCGCCCTTTTCTCTCTGGGGCAGGGGCAGGAAGGAGGAAGGCTGTTACCCAGCAGAAGGAAGGAGAAAATCCACTGCAGAACGGCGACTGTCTGGATCCTCCTCTTTAAGGGGATATTGATGGGGGCAAACTCGACCTTCATGCTGACGGAGAGCAGCGCGGGAGGCACGGACCCGCCGGCTCCGGCCCCAGCCGCCGCACCTGCCCGCTGCGCGCCGCTCTGCCGCGGCCCCGGCCGTGCAGGACGCGCCCCTCCCGCCGCCGGCGCTGCCCACGGCCGCGGGTCCGGCAGGCGGGGACGGGGAGGCGGTGCCGCCCGCCCCGGCCGCGGGAAACCTGATCCTGGAGCAGGAGCGGGCAGAGCCCGGGCACGGCTGCGGAGCCTGGCGGCGGCTACATCCCCTCCGCCCACAGGCGGCTGGCGCGGCTCCCCCCGCCTGCTACCGCTCCGCATGAGCGGCACCGGGCGGAGGCACCGCGGCTCTGTCGGAGCGAGCCCCGCGCCTGCGGACCCAGGTGCGCCCGCACGCCCAGCACCTGCACTGCCCTGGCGGGCCGGGCGGGCTTTTCCCCTCGGAGCGCCCGGAGACCCGGCGCTCCGGGGCGTGCTTAAGGCTCTTACCACTAAAGAGCTTATGGAGCTTAGAGTTCCTACAGAGTTTGGCGTCAAGCGTTTCGTTTTTAATTACACCAGCACACGCATAGCCTCCTCCCGCCCGCGGCGCTTCACCCGGCGCGTCCGTAACAGGGATCGTCAAAATAAAACTGCGGCGTGAAAAAGAAAACACCTCCCGAAACTTGCACAGCGTTGCCCCAGCTGACCCCCCCTTCTCCATGAGGACAGCGGCAGCGCCGGGATTCACCATTCACCGCGGGGACAGGGACAGCGCGGGGACTTGCGGTCCCCACGCGCGGACGGGAACGGCGGCACCGCCGGGACTGGCGGTCCCACACGGGCCGCCCGTCCCGCCCCGCGCCGCCGACAGCGCGGGGCCCCGGCGCGGGCTGATGTCACCGCCGTAGCTGCCCGCCGCGCTGCCGGGGCTCGGGCCATGCCGACCGTCAGCGTGAAGCGGGATCTGCTGTTCCAGGCGCTGGGCAGGAGCTACAGTGAGTGCCCGCCGTGCCGCGGGACGCACCCGCCCGGCTGCCATTGCTGCCGGCCGGGGCGAAGCTCTGTGCGCGCACGGTGCCGCCGGCCGCGCCCCGCGTGTCCCGCGTGTCCCGGGCTACTCATTCCATCGGGGAAGCGCAGGCCTCAGAGCGCCGGTGGCTCCCCTGCCGCCTGCTCCTCGCCTGCCCACGGCGCGCCTGGCGCAGCCATGTGTCATCCCGGCCCTTCAGCGGTGCCCCGACACGCACTGCCAGAGCCCGCATCTCTCGGGAAAGCGCAGCCACGCGTCTCCGCGTGGCGATTTCTGGCTGGAGTTTCACTGTCGGTTTTAGGATCTGGTTAAACGAAGAAGGAGGGAGAAGAGGGGGGAGCAGGCAAAGCGAGCGGAGAATAGCGTAGGTTTATTCAGTCCTTCCTTCCTGGCTCACGAAGCAGATTTCAGAACTGCTCGGCTGAAGGAGCATTCAGGACATGCAGTGTTTAGACCAGACGGAAGCTGCGGCTCTTCAGACACCCGGTGCATTGTCAGAACAGGGCATTGTCAGATGGGCATTGTCAGAACAGGGCTGTGTTACTCACATGTTACAGCGCAGCTGATGCAACCTCTGTAAAACAGCCTGTCTGATCAGAATAGGAGCACTTTGCAGAAGCTGCCCAGTTATTCCCTTCTGGTTTCATTATCTGTTCAGGCCAGAGTTGCTCTGACAGACCTGGCTGAGGAGCTGAGCTCCAAAGATCAGCAGCTCTCCCTTGTGACTGTCAGAATACCACATCAATAAATCAGATATGTACTAAAGAAGCTGCTACTCAGGTACATATATAAGGAAAAGTCTTTAAATTACTTTTACCATATTTTTTTTCCAAAATAGCATTTGTTATATTTTTTGAACATTCCAAACATACATACACAAATTAGGTCTGAGGTCTGCTTATTAATCAAAATTCACCCTCTTCCTTCACAGCGGATGAAGAATTTGATGAGCTTTGCTTTGAGTTTGGTTTGGAGCTTGATGAAATAGTAAGTAATGTTTTTATTTGTTGCTTTTTTGAGTAGATGTCGCATATTGACAGGGTTGATTTTTGGTAAGAGTTTGTATGGCGTTGTTTCCAGCATATCCCCTGTTACAATGTTCTAATGGACTGTATTAACACAGGTGTTTTGAATCTGGAAAAATCCCCTCAGACTTACAAAGTTACTGCTTTGGAAGCAAGAGACTCCAAGATGGCATATTGCAATACTTTCTGGAGGTCAGCACTCTGTGCCTCTTGATCTTCAGTCTCAGGCACCATTTTATTTAGCAGCATACATATGACCACAGAACATGTGTGAATCATATTTTACAAGATCTGCTTGGCTTTGTTTGATATGCAGTCATCTGTGCAATATCCACAAAAAATGTATTTGTCCTGGACATTGTTACCTGAGTTGTAACTAATTTATATTTAATGTTTTGATTTAGGTTCTGTACTTGTGGAGATTTGCTAGCCCTAATAACTCTATCCATGCAAATCTTGTTCAAGTATACCTGTTTTGTTTTTGCCATTTAATTTTAGTTTATTGGCTTTTTAATGATGTTTATCAAAAGACATCTGAATGTCATATGTTATACTTTATTTCAGAATAAATTTGATTGTGACAAGTCATTTGCCAAAAATAAGGTCTCAGATCTCTGCTGGGGTCTGACAGCCTGGAGGTTCTTGCTTCTATAATATTTTTTCTTAAAATTAAAATTTTAATAATGAACTTTTATTTTGGTACAGTGTCTTACAGTTTCTGAATTTAAGGTTTTATGTAATTTCTTGTACTTGGTGTGTCCATTTGCTGTATAAATGCAAATTACAGTGTTAAACTTCTAATTAATACAGTTTCTCCTATCATACCACTATCATACTGCTATCAATGTTAAGATATATCAGGTTAAAACTGCATTTTTGCTTGATTTCAGACATCTGAGAAGGACATTATAAGTAAAGAAAAGGGTGAAGAAAAGGCCAAGGGTGCGTCTGATGTCGTTCTCTATAAAATCGATGTTCCTGCCAACCGCTATGATCTGCTTTGCCTGGAAGGGTTGGTCCGAGGACTGCAGGTCTTTAAGGAAAGGTAAGGCAGAGTTGTGAGATCTCTGTGTGGTTTGTTATTTGTTGAAATATGGGTCCATTTCTGGTCAGTAAACAGAAATTCCTACTTGCTTGCATTTGGAGTATGATTACGTGTGTAGGTGAGGTTCATCAGGTGTTCCTCTGGAGAGATCTATTGCATAACTTAAAAAGACTAGACTAGAATGTTTCTGGGGTTTGTATCTGTTCTAAGAAGTTTTCAATTGCTGTTCCATTTGAGACTTATTCTCTGTAAAGAACTCCTGTAGAGAAACTTCTGGTCCTTTCTAATAAATACCAAAACACATAATTTATTTCCCTTTTCTGCAATGACTTTATCTTGCTGAGTTCTTCCTTTCTAGTTCGGTAATCTGTTGACCATCCCATAAAAAACAAGTTTTGCACAGTTAGCTAATTACATACCAAGAAATGTTACCAAGGAAGTTTTCTACATGTAATTCCTGCTACATTTCTAGAGTTTGCTGCATTTCAGCTACAGACTTACTTCTGTTTTTGTTTTAGGATAAATCTCCCTAGGTTTGAAAAGATAATACCAGCTGAGGGTGAAGGTCAGAGGCTAATTATCACTGAACAGGTAATAGTGTTTACTGCACCTTTGTAAATGCATTGAGAGTTGCTGAAGCAGCACGATCCATATCAGTACAATTTTGTAAGAGCAGTGAGACTGGAAATCTTATTTGCAGAACAGGAGCTAAAGACATTTAAATATCTCTACTAGTTGTGATCTATTCTTAGGAATGAGGAGTGGGAGGAACAATAGACAAATTGTTTTGGGTGAACCTAGTAGCAGATCAAATCAAAGTTCCAGATGCAGCTCAAATCCAATCTCTTGAGATGCTGCTGTTGTAACTTGCAGACTGCCCAGGTCCGGCCTCACGCTGTCGCTGCCGTCCTGCGAAACATAACTTTTACCAAGGACCGGTATGACAGTTTCATCGACCTCCAAGAGAAACTGCACCAAAATATTTGCAGGTTAGTGCTTGAATTTGGAGTAGTGTCTAGTGTCTGTGTTATGATTTTATCACATGTTAAAACTGCACATCCCTATTGCAGAGAGGTGTTATGGTTATGCCAGGGAAAATCTATAGGAGTTCTCTTGATCCTTCTCATTTCCTTGCCTGTTCTTGTCTGCTGCCATTATTGTTCAACATAAATAGCTGTTACAGTTCATTCAACAGTTGAAACAGAAGTGTTCAGCAACATTCCCATTGCATTTGCCTTGACAATTGTGTTGCTATTCATAATAATGTTTATTAAAATGTTATTAATCAAATAATTTTCTAGGCTTCTCAAAATTATCCTTCTGCTTTTTCAGTAAGCTCTGCAAATGCATAGAAGTATAGAGCATCATACTCTATGAAACTCCAAGTATTACTAGTAAAAACATTATTTTGCCTTCTTTTATTTCTAGGAAAAGAGCACTAGTAGCAATAGGTACCCATGACTTGGACACCATCACTGGTCCATTTACTTTTACAGCCAAAGCACCTTCTGAAATTAAATTTAAGCCCTTGAGTCAATCCCAGGAGTACACAGCCTCACAAATTATGGATCTATATAGGGTAAGTGGAATTTTTCAGACTTGTTGCACTAAATGAGGAACATAAATTTCCAAGGCTAAATATCTCTCATATCCTTGTTATTAGAAGTTGTTCTTACAAATAAAACACAGTTATCTTCTGTAGCTTAACAGCCATTGAACATTCCATATTTTGCTTGTCCTGTTGGAAAACACTGGCCCTGGAGACAAATCCTCAAGTATCTTTGACTAAAGAGTAAGAGAGCTCAGAAACAGAAGAGACTAAAAGGAAATTAGATTTTTGGTACAGCACATACTTATGTCATTAGAACAAATGTAATTTTTGAATCAAATTTAGGTATGTGTCAGTATCCAGCAATTTATAACTAAAAGTATAACTGTGTTAATTTTTTTAACTTTTTAAGAGGAGTTTGTATAGGCTAAGGATATTTGGCAGTGTTTGTGTGCTGTGGTGAGCAAGACTATCATTTGGACAAAATGACCTACACATGTTTGAGACAATCCTTAAATAATCTGCAGCACTTCTGAAGAAAACCAAAAATTCATTTCATACTTTTCCTGCTGCTGGGAGCAAACACTCTTTGTTAGTAAAGTACCTAACTAACCCAATCCTTCCCACCTTCAAAGTTCCCCTTAATCACTCACCAGAGGATTGTGGCTCTGTGAGAGTTCACCTGTGAGCAGAAGTGAAATTCAGTTTGTGCTTTGTTTCTGCAGACTGACAGCCACCTTCGGCACTATTTGCACCTGATTGAAAACAAGCCACGTTACCCTGTCATTTATGACAGCAATGGGGTTGTTCTGTCCATGCCACCAATCATCAATGGTAAGATTAATTTGTGACTGCTGTGTACTGTTATTGCTGTTTTGTGTGTGAATTCCTGTCTGACAAACGCTGATGTGTCATGGGATTATTATGTTTCCTTAAAATGGTTTCATTTATAATTTCATGAAGCCTTCTTTCCTTCTTTCAGTTTAAAGGTAGTCAGGTTTTTTTGCTCCCTCCCTAGGCTGCTAGTGTTCATTTTTCACATCTTCATCTCTTCATCAGAAGGGTGTAAAATTCAGACTGCAAACCTCTGCATTGAGTTTCTCATACTCTTCCCCAGCTCAATGAAGTTCCTTGTGACAGAAACTTTTGTCATGAAAGCATTTTGTTTAGCTAAAAGAAGGCAGCAAGAAGTTATTTTGTAAACTGGTAATTGCAACTTTGTACTCCATTTTATGAGCTCACAGCAGGGAACTTATCAGCAATGGGATCTAGTTTTTTTATGGATCCTATTGCTGTCACACTAAGTGATTTCAGAAGACTTTAATTGCTTAAAAAGAAAAAATTGGTCTAGACTTTTTTTGCATTGTTTCTAAATATGGGTGTGCAAAAGATACCATGGGTGATTTTTGAGAACCAGGTTTACTAAAGTCATTTAATGGCATGTCAAGAATTACTTGTTAAAGAAAGATAATTCAGTATACCTATATACTGAAATATAGGTTAGTAAATTTCAGGTAATTTGCAAATTTCAGCAAATATAGGTCAGTAAATTTCCCTACACTGACCAATAAGTCTGCAGTGATAATCTCTTTGGATGTATGCTTCCTAATAGACCTTATACACCTAACCCAAATCTTCTTAAAAGGCAGCTCAAACTCTCTGGCAGGGACTGGTAACAGTAACTGTTCTGAATTGAATATGCTGTCAACCACTATGCCTGATCCTTCTTTGTTAGGCTTATTCCAACTTGGGGGTGTTCCATGTGTGAGCACTGCATATTGTTTATATTTTATCAATTAAAAATGTTGGGCTAAATTTAACACCTGCCTCTGCTTTAGAGAACCGTAATCTAAGAGAGGCTTCCAGGTCAGAGGTGCTTTTTAAACAGATACTGCAATGTAAACATCTGTATTGGTTGTTTGGATTATCTACAAGCACTGAAGTGAAGGCTTGTATTTACTTTGAAGCGAGTCCAGAGATGCTGACTCCATTCCATCTACAAAGAGATACAGCACAGCTGTAAGGGAGTACAAGATCCCTCAGTCCTAAGATCTCTGCTGCACCTACCTTCCAGTCTGGCTGTGACCTCATTTCTCAGATAAGAAACTAAAACAGAGAAGCTAAGTCAGGGTCAAACAAAGGAGGCAGGATTTCCCATCTATATCCTAATGCATTCTTTGGCTCTGGTATCTGCACTAATGAATGGTGCAAGGAAAGGCAAAAGGACAAAGAGGCTGGATTTGACATGATCCCACACGGTTCTAGGACTGTGTGTGCCTATTCCTGCATGGTTCCCAGCCAAGGAATTCACTCCAGGTGTGCACTGCCCATCTGTACCTAACAGGCAGAATGAGATCTCTGTACAGCTGCTCCAGATTGCTTGTGCCTTACTAACAGACCCCACTTTTCTAGGGAACCATCTACTGGGGGTCTTCACATCCAGTTTGCAAAAGAGACACTTCAGGTGCTTCTTCCAGACAAGAAAATTCTTGAGTGCAACAGGGATGTGCTTTGGTGCACACATCATAACTCCCAGTATAGACAAAGCAAATTCGTGCCTAGAAGGGACCCATACTAGGACCTAAATCACTGCTGTAGAGCAACCTATAGGGTATCAGCAGTGTCAGGAGACCACAGAATGACTATTGATAGGCATTAGTCTAAATCACTTTTTAAAAACAATTTCATTTGTTCCTGCCCAAGGAAATGACATACATCACGCATGTGATGGGAATGTGAGACTAAACCCAGGGAAGATGGGATGCTGTGGCAGTGCAGAGCCCTTTGCTAACAGCAGATGGCCACTGTTCTGTTAGCTGGCTTTTCCAGCTGGCTGCCAGGATACCTGAAGATCCCTGTGTCTTGCAGTGTAAAGCATAACCCAGTCAGAGTGTCTGACCTGCCTTTTTCCTTTTCTTTGATTTATAAATTCAAATATAAAAAGAGTTGCTATTCTGCCAACAACTGTGAACGTTGATGCAGTAGATGGTGGCTTTTTTAAGCTGTGGAAAATGACAGTGATCTTTCTGACACAAAATCAGTATCAGTGCTAATGCAATAAAACTAATATTTCTCAACATGTTTTTGTTTTCACATGTTTTAGGAGATCATACAAAAATAACGCTAAATACCAGAAATGTGTTTATTGAATGTACAGGCACAGATATTACAAAGGTAAATTAATCTTTCCTATTTTTGATATGCTTTAAATAATTGTTTTCCCTTTGGATAATAGAGCTCCAATACAAAGACCTACAACAACAAGGCATTTATTGTATGGAGCCAACTTTCCAATGCAAAAGTTGTAGGACTGTGGAATTCCCTGGAAACAGTTTCAGGCTTGCTCTATAGATAGCATTGTGTTTTCACTGAAGTTTGATTTTACTGCATCTTTATTTTGACACTAAGTTTTCAGCTTGTATGAGAAAATAATTCAAGTAAATTAGAGACTTTTTGTTCTTTTTGAGCACTTTTTCTAAATCTGAAAGACTTAGAAAAGAGTAAAATTTACTAAGACTTCCTGTTTTGGCAGAATACTATTTGTAAAGATTCATTTTGTCTCCTACTGAAAATTTGGGCTGAGGGAAGAAAGACAAGGGTTTTTCTACTTAGTTATCTTTATCACGCAGGGATGCCATGCAAATAATTGCTAAATTCAAGTCTTTCCATATGCAAATTCTGTAACTCAAAGCTGAAGCATGAAAGCCAAGGAGCTATAATTGCCTGTTCTTGAATATAGGTTGTGCATTCATTGATAGTTTCCTGAAGTGTGTAACTTGATGCTTAAGAGCAAAACTGCTTTTAACTTACTCTACTGCAAAATGGTATGTTAACAACACAAATAAATTTGCATGTTGGGAAGTGGCTTCTAAGCAAACTAATAAATAAGTATTTCTTGCTACTGCTTGTCTTGATAGTAAAAATGAATATAATGTTGTTCTTTTACATGAAGAAAATTACACTGTCAGACATCAAAAAACCCCTTTGTGGATTGAGAAGTTCATCTGAATCTCATTATTACATTTCATTATACTAACCTCTTAATATATTAACTGTAAAACAAAAAAAATTGCAAACAAGATTGTTTGATAATGTATTGCCGAACAATGCAGTCCTTCAGCCTCTCCATTATCACTTGAACTTCAGTAAAATTACTGATTAGGTTAGGAAGACCCAGTTCCAAATGGTAATAAAAAGCCTAAAGTGTTTCTAAAGAGCAGAGTTTAGAAAAGATACACAAAGGCTTCAGAACCTTGAAAACTCGATTTTCAAGCTTTTGCACAAATGTCTGCAGCAGAAGGAATTTTTTTTTAAATTCACTGTAATATTCTAGACTGCTAGGAAATTAGAATAAAATGAATAGGGTGTAAGATGAGATATTTTCCCTGTTTCTTGTTAAGATATTTTGTCTACTTCAACACAAGATGACAGATTTCAATGTGATTATTATGTTTGTTTTGTAGGCAAAAATTGTTCTTGATATTATAGTCACGATGTTCAGTGAATATTGTGAGAAGCCATTCACGTGAGTATAAATCTCCAGGCAGAGAGACATTACATTTGGACCACGTGTTAAAACCAGTTTTATTTACATTTTTCTGTCTCTCTCAGTGTCGAAGCAGTAGAAGTGGTTTATCCCAATGGGAAGACCCACATGTATCCGGTAAGCACAGCATTAGGACATCTCTGTGTCCTTAGGGAGAGGGCTTGTTTTACACAAAGTCTGCTAAGAGTGACATTGTTTTCTTTTCCTGCAGTTGCAGCATCTGCTGGTCTGAGGTGTAGTGTAAAAACCCAGCTTGGCACTTTCTCTATATTAGTGAGTCAGAGTATCCTCTAACCCCACGAAAAATAACTCCAGCTCCAGCTTCTCCTTGTCAAGGAAAGTCATTCTGAAGCTCCATTGAATTATGATGAGATTAAAATACACTATTATGGTTTAGAGTGCCTGTGATAGGAACCTTTTCAGGAACAAGTAAAGATTGCAATCAAACGTCATTATCTGTGTCTAAAGCTTTTAAAATCTACATGTTCCAAATCAGGAAAAATGAATGCAGGAACAGGTCCTTAAGTCTATAGACAACTGAAATCAGCCTCAGCATAATGTACTTATCAGATCTGGAAGCTTTCATGCCCTTCAGTTAAAATAATCTTGTAACACTGCATTTTTCAGTCTCTCACTTTACAATCACCAACTATGTAAAAGTCTAAAAGGCAGAATGTTGACTTCAAGTTCAGTTCAGAGCCCCAGATAGATCTGTTCACAGTAATGGAGTCTTATATTTTTATTCTCTTAATAAGTATAAAGAAAGCAATTCCTCCTGTTTCCTGGAAGTAACTGAAGACAGAGTTGAACTCTGGTTATGAACTGTGAACTCTGAGTTATGAACTCTGGTTGAGTTCATAAAATCACATACACCAAGGGAGTACAAACTGTTTAGAGGGAAAGAAACTTATTTTTGCTAACGGTTTTCTAGTCATTTTAGCTTTTTCTTTTCACAATGTCAGTTTTATTCACCAGAGGAAAGATGTAGAATCCTGAAAAGATATCCAACAAAATAGAAATCTCTGCAGTAACCAAAGCAGCTTCTCTAGATAAAATAGAGAAAATAAAAAAACCCCAAGATTCATATGCTATATTTGTATATCAAGAAGTTTGTAAACACATGAAATACATAAATACATATAAAATAACTTCCTTAAACATGTTGCGCACTTGCTAAGCAAAATACTGGTAGGTATTTGTGTGCTAATAAAGAAATAGAAAGTCTTCCTTCCTTTTCCTTTTAAAAGTCATTTGATCTGTAGGAGACCATGAGATCTCATGCATGACCATTCTGTGCTTTAGGGCTTTGACTTAGGATGAACTGCTCACCAGAAACTTTCAGTGACTCTGTTACTTGCATATATCAGGAATTATCGGAAGTTTCAATAACGGGGATTTCATGCTGCATTCACCCTTCCAGCTTAACCAAGAACAGCTTTTGCATCACATACTAGAGTAATATTTTCAACAATCCTGTTCACTTTAGAATGCTAAATATAGCCTAATATTCCACATTTGTCTTCTGTGGGTGTCATTTTAGTATGGCAATTAGAAGCTAGATTACTGAGATTGAATCCTCTTAGGTAGAAATGGCAGGCACTGTACGCGTGACAAATCTTTGTCTTTCTTTTTAGGAGCTGGCTTACCGAACAGAGAAGGTGAAACCTGAATACATTAACAAGAAAGTAGGAATCAGGTGTGTTACTGCAAATTAAAACAGTTTTTATTAACCATGACAAAGGTACTAGAAGACATTGATTATTGCATTGTTTTAAAAATGTTTAGACTTTGTGATTATTTTTAATTTATCAAAAATCAGGGGTTATCTTGGGTAATTAGATCGACTCTGTAACAGAGTCCCCTGCTTTCAGAGAACGTGAATTATTCTTTATGGCTTCACACAACTATTACGAAGTAAAGGAAAATGACCATCTCATGAGTGAGAATCTGAGCTGGTTCTGTTTGGATGCTAAGTCTGTGTACAGTCCATAAAGCACTTGCAGATTGTTCAGGATATGAGGCAATGCAGAAAAAACATTGACTATTTTACAAAGCCAGTCAGTACGTTGCAAAATCCATAAATGAGCACTCTCTTGTTTTGTTTCAGTGAAACTCCATCAAGCCTGGCAAAGCTGCTGACTAGGATGTGTTTGAAGTCACACGTCACAGGGAATGGGAACCATATAGAGATTGAAATCCCTCCTACCAGAGCAGACATTATCCATGCCTGTGATATCGTAGAAGATGCAGCAATAGCTTATGGTTATAACAACATTCAGATGGTGATTCCGAAAACGTACACCATAGCTAATCAAGTAAGATTGCCCCTTCAAATGAATGCTCTGTTGTCAGTAAATGACTGCTGCATGCCAGAAGGGCTTTGGGGAAAACAGAACCTAGGAATTAAATATTTTGACATGCTTTGCCTTGAGAAGTATTTACCATGGATGGGATACAAAACAGATGCCCCACTGATTTGAATAAGTCTAAGACCAGTGGTTGCTGGTACTTGAAAAAAGACAGGGTTTAAGTAGGGAACCCGTATTAAATCTCTAATTGGGAGATTCATTTCCTCAGGCAAGCCTAAAGGCAGCTGGCTAATGCTTTCAAAAATTTTAAGCATAGTCCCTCCCTAGTGAATTCACAATCATGTAACAGACAGAATCACCTCGGGAAAGAATAGCAAAATGCTTTTAGATGGAAGCTGAAAACTGTTTTGTTTCATTTTAGCTCCCCCTCAATAAGTTCTCAGAACTTCTGAGACTGGACTTGGCAGCTGCTGGATTCACTGAAGCACTCACTTTTGCCCTGGTATATTTTCATATATATTTTCATATATATTTTCATTTCATATTTTTCTTAATTGCATGTTTGAACAGTGATGCAATCAAAACTGCAGAGGGTGGTCTGAGGATATGTTATTGTATAAATGTATCAGTATCATCCAGTACTGTTTTGGCAGCTGATTGTTTCCTAGGGCTTTGGAATCACAGTATAATATTTGGTAAGTTTGTAGGTCAGAGAAATTAAATGAGTCACTGTTAATGTGGTATGCAGTTCTAAGTATAGAGAGGGAAATAGCTGCTGAAGGACTGGTTTTAGTTTAACTTGATAAGATGAAGTTGTAAGACAGCAAATCTCTCTAAAGACCTTAGTCACCAGATGAAATTCGTCATAATTCAATAATCTGGAAAAACAACATGAAAATTTGTACTTTCTGGTGGGTATTCCTACAGTGTATTGAGATTTACCTGTTTATATATTTTTCTTTAGTATTGTCACTTGCCCACGATTCCTTGCATTAGATAATTCAATCTGCAAAGAGCTTATTTTAAGAATACCCATAAAAAAGTTACACTACACAGACATTAGGGGGACATCCTTTGTAAATTTCACCACAGGTAGGGTTTTGAATAAAGATAACAAATAGATATATGGTATATAGATAACAACTATAGATAAAAAATATAGCATTGTTATCACTGGTTTTAGGTATTCTTTGTTACAACCATGCCTGTGGTCTTTGACCAAGAATTAGGACTCTGCAGCAGTCCACTGTGCCACTCAGGTACTAACTGATGCCATAATTTGTACTGTGGAAATTATACAGCAGGATCATTGTGCTAAAACAGAATGTTTTAGCACAACATCTTTGTCATGGCCACTTGCTCAAACTCCTTAGCTGTGAACTGGATCAGAGAACCTGATCTGCTATTAAAAGCAAAGAAGTTAAATATGCTCCTATGCCCTCCAAATGCGTGTGGTAACTGTCCCTATATGGAGACTGGCGTAGGCAGATATTGAAAATATACTATATATTTTTAAAATTCCTTTCTGTTGCAAGATCAAAGCCTTTGCCTAAATGTCCAGTTTGTGCACATTTTAACATATGGGGAGCTACCATCACGTATTCTGTTAAAATCTCTGTGGAGCTTCTCAACTTCTTCCTGAACCTAAAACTTACTAGATGGCCAGAGGGATAAATCCTTGAAAGTATACAACCTCTTAAGATAGGAGAGAGTGATCTGCTCACAGATTATTTTTTACTAATTTACTCATATATTTTAAGATGCAGCATGTCAGGCTCCTAAAACACTTCTGATAGTTGAACACTTCAGGTATATAACCACATTTGGTAATTTGAATGGACTGAATAAAATTTTAACAGCTTCAGATTTCACAGAGCTTCAAAAGTAAAATTTGGTCTCTTTCTGAAAAATATATTCCAGTTTTAATATTTGGTTATTAACTCATTTAAGTAACCAGGACAATAAGTAGTATTGTGCTGCAGTATCTGACAGAGGTATTCAGGCCTGTGGTTACTACCATGTTGAGGCAACAGTACATATAGTCAAGCTTTTAAACTTTTTCTTTATTCATTACTATTGTTATCCAAAATTAATATTTCCTAATTCATTATTAATTTTTGAGTGCTGCACTCTGATTCTTTGAACACATAGTTCATTTTTTTCAGCACCAATAGGTAATACATCTATATGTCTATTCCTATAAATAGGAATATATTACATTGCTACAACTGAGAACCTGTATGAACTGCAACAGCAGAATTTTTGAAGGTCATGTAGTGTGTCATGATATCACATTTCATATTTGTATTTCTGCTGTGACAGGATGAAACTCAGTCTGCTGCATCCCCAACACTTTATTAAGTGAGGCTTATGATGTCGATAACTTTTATATAATTTATGTTACAACATTCTGTACCCCAGTGTTGCATGACAAACACTGCTTATGTATTTGTGCACTCAATCTGTTTCTTGGGTAGAGCCCCAAATTACACTTTTACACAATAATGTTGCCTTCCATGAGGAGCTCTGGTTTAGCCAGAATGCATTTAGTTAAATCACAGTAACATGCTGAAGTTTAGATAGACATATGAAAACTGTTTAACACAGTTCTCTCCTCCTAAGTTCAGCATTCCTTGTGTAGTTTGGGATTTTCTTAAATGATTATTCAATAATCCACTTTTTCAGATGGCATCATGTGCTCATTTTTCTCACAGTTGGTCTATCAACACACTTTGTGAGTGCTGCCAGTGCAAAGGGAACACTTCTGGGAGACTGCAGTACACAAGTAAATCCTCAATTACATGCCTAGTGTGCTACTGGTTTCTTTATTACTCTAATAAAGCTATAAGTTCTGGAAATCTGAAGCGTGGATCTTAGAAGTAGCATCTATTGCATTGGCTGAGCCTGATAAAGTGAATGCATATTGTTTTACTGACCAGCTTAAAAATACACAGGCTTTAGAAATACAGTTTTTAAAAACACTTCAACCCCAAAAATTGAACAAACTACAAGAATCTTATACAGCTCTGAAAAGTGAAGGCTTGGCCATATGAGCAGTTTTTCATAGACAGTACTGTACTTTATGTAAGTGTCCCTCAATGGATTGTTTTACTTTGTGTGAAAGAACAGATACCAGTCCCTCTACAAATGCTATTTTCAGAATAAAATACTTCACCCACTGCAAGTCAGGGTGCAGAATCTGAGCCTGTTTTTAAAATAAATTACTACAATCCGTGACAGAAGCCTAAGTAAACTCTTGTTGGGGTTTTTTTAACCCAGCTTAATTTTATTTAGTAATTAACATTTCTAAATAAACCAGTTTGCCTACTTAGTTCTAAGACTAGGGCTTAATTTGTATTGTGAGTGTTACGTGTGAGAGGCTATATTATGGGGCAGTGCTACAATTCTATTGTTCATTCTTGAGATCAAATTTCATCTTTGGCTTACTGTCTATTTTTACCACTTGACCTTGATATGTTTTTGTCTCATTTTCAGTGTTCTCAAGAAGATATTGCAGATAAACTTCGCATGGACATCTCTGCAACAAACGCCGTGCGCATAGCAAACCCCAAAACAGCAGAATTTCAGGTGAGATCATTTACACTTTGAAAGCAATATTGTCATGTGTTCACTTAAAAAGGAGAGAAAGGAACCTACAGGAAATAAAATTTATACACTATAAGCTACATTTCCTGCATTAAAGAGCTTGTGTATATTTATGTGCTGAACGTGTCATCTTCTGTTACTGCACTGAGAAATCTCTCTTCTGCTGTGAAATATCATCAGCTCTTCAAGAAAGCAAAGTGCCATGCTCTGTGTAGCACAGTGTGGCAAAACTGAGCAGTCTTATTCAGAAAATCCCAGATGGTTGATCAACTCCCTTATCTAGAAAACCTATTCAGCATAGAAGGAACTATTAGATTTGGCAATCTCTAAACTTCCTGAGCTTTGGGTAGGAAACATTTGGGTTGGTTTCTTTTAAATATCGATCATTATTACTCTTGGTTTGGTTTTTTTTTTAATTCAGTGATGCTCTTGAAGTATTTTAATACTTCTTTCTAAATCATTTGATCTTAGCTAAAGCAGAAAGTGAGAGTTAAAGTATGGTATTCTCAATAATTCTGAAAATACCAAAGACTGTACCCATAGGTATTATATTTCTTTTCAAGAGGGTTGTTGGTTTTTTTTAAGATGCTTTCTTTAGGAATGTAAATTTAGAGGCCCTTTTTTTTCTTTCTAGCCTACAAAATACAAAGGTAAACTCACTTTAGAATGGTTTTGAAAAGTTTCAGGAGTCTGTGAGGTATTAATATTTTGTGATTTGTGATTTTTCCCTGAAGACCTTTAGTACATCTGATTTCTCTGAGTTTCTGAAATACCTTCCTAGATATTATCTCTAATATTGATGACAGTCTTCTGCTGCTCTGACATTCAAGAACAGAATTTTTGCACACCTTCTATTTGGTACCACAAATCAGCAGTCATGCAAGACACTGTTGGAATCTGTTCAGACCATTACCACCTGTTGATTTCTATCATTTAGCATGGTGATTACAGTGAGAAATATGGAATGTACCCCCAACAAACAATAAAGAGTGAACAAAAAGAGAAAAATGGCAGCCCCTTTAGCCAGATACAATTTCAAACTCCTGTTCTTGCAAGACTGCAGACCTTTGCAGTAGCAGTGCTGCTAAGCAGGGTTATTATGGGATGGATAATTCCTTGTGGCAAAAATAGTTTCAATCTTTTAAAATCTGTAGGCATCCCTGAAAATTGGAAAGGATGCACTATAAACTTTCAGCTTTAGATGGTAGCTGGGATGGGATTCTCAGGATGACTCTCCTCATCCCCTGTTCCCTGCCAGCAAGGGAAGGGCAGGATGATGGCAGGGTCCACCTTTTACTGAGTGTAGAGCTGGAACTCCTCACTGGTTAAGAAAAGTAGGATAAATAGACAGAAATGCTGCATGACCAAGCATAAGACATAACTGTGGCTGAGCACATGTGACTTATAACCTGCAGTAAAGGAGCAGAGTCACTGCCACCCCTCTTACATTAGATTTACTGAATCAGACTCTTGTAGTTTGACAAATAAAAAAGGTGCCATTCAAAGGAAGTATTTGAGTGGAGAACACAGAAATGTTACTGTTCTTACAGATACATTCAGAGGTGTGATTGTCTCTTGCTTGGTTCTTTGAACACATTTTCTGTAGATTTCAGGTGTCCCTGACTGAATATTACATAGCATTTTTCTATAGCATAAAGATAACATTTTAAATAACACTTTATATTTCCAAAAAATGCCTTAGAATTTGCTTTTGTATAAGTGAGAGTAAATGTATGGGATTTTTTTTCAATTTCTTTATTTTTTTTTCTGTGCTGCACTGCAACTGAACCACCTGTGAAATGGTACCAGTTCTTAAGCTCACTTATAAACTCTTTGAGAAAATGCAGTATATAGAATATGGAGAGAATGTACATTTCCAGGTTTAAAAATTCTAAATCAAAGTTGCTTAAACATAAGAGATAAGTGCAGTATTTGCACTTGACTACTTTTAAATTCTTGTTATGAATGGACAAAACAAAAAAAAAAAAAAAAAGAAAACAAGATATTTGGAAGATATTTGACTTGCAGCATCTCTGTTTGTCCTGCAGGTGGCACGTACAACCCTCCTTCCTGGGCTGCTGAAAACTATTGCTGCCAACAGAAAGATGCCCTTGCCTCTCAAACTCTTTGAGATTTCTGACATTGTAGTAAAAGATCCTAATACAGGTAAGAAGAGAAGGTTCCTCAGAATCTTTGATAATGGAAATACATTTACATACCAAGTGGTAATAGTAAGTAAATCTGTATTTCCTTTAAAATAAGCATTTCATAATAATAGTAATTCCATACTACAGTGGGGTTTTGTATTAATGTCCACAGCACAAGATTTAACAGCTTGGTTTACAGGCTGGATTTTAGAGTAGCTGGAAATGTTAATTTTAGATGCTCTCTCAGAAGTGCAGAGATACACAGCAACTGTTTTTAGGCATCTAAATATTCCTTAAAATCTGTCACAGATACTGAAAAACTGCAAGCATAAACACAAGACTAAAAAATAATCTGCTTTAAATTGCTTGTGTTAATGTGCCTATTTTTCTTGCTCTTAATTTATCACTCCTTCATGTTTTATTGGGAAAAGTAATTGATATTCTTATCAGGGATGTATCTCATGAGAGAACCTGCTGGTAGTGTTTGCAAGTGGCACAAACCCTGGAAAGCAGAGATACCAAAGGCATGCTGCTGTTACAGTTCTAGAGCCTGCTTAGGCCACGGCAGTCTCAGTCATGTGCAGGGCTATGCCAGCTGGAAAGCACAATGTCTCGAGCCTGGGAAGAGCAGGTTTTATTTATAGGCAGATTATATCCTAGAGAGCAGTTATTCAGAGGAAGATTTTGGGGTCAGTGTGTCTCGACATGAATCCCTTTTCCATCATCTTTAAACAAGACTGCTTGTATTTGTTCTCCCAAATTATTTTCTGGGAAGCTGATAACTGATATGAAGAATGAGATTGGTAGCAGAGATACAGGGTAGAGAATGGAAAAGTCTGTGCAAAAAACTGTATCCATAAATAAAAAGCTCCACAGTATAAAATTTCCTCTCTCATTAATAAAAATATTGTCCTTATCTTTCCACTTCATCCAGCTATGCTAAGAGAGCACGGCTGCTCTAGCCATGTAATCTTAATTGTTGTATGTGAAACAGGCAAAGCAGCTCGTTCACTTTCCAAAAGCTTCAGTGAAATTCTTCCTGTGTTTTGGGGCCTCTTTGCACTGATTTCACTGTATATAATCAAAATTTCAAATTGCCTTTATCTGGAAAAATATATCACAGTAAAATGAACTGTAAAAACCAGGTTTTTAAATGTTAAAAATTTGCCTAAATTTTACTGATTCAAGTCTTTCTCTACGGTATATTGAGAGAAAAGGAGTGACCAAGCTACAACTTCTGGGAGGAGTTGAATGGAGTTTTGCCTCAGTAAAAAGGCTGACATTACTTTAAATTCAGTGGTAGCAATGGTTCTGTTGTTTCATTATCTGGTTTCAGATTTTAGTGATGGTGTTTAAAGTATCTGGAATCTGCCAAAGTTTTATATAAGGCCTAAACAAAATGGCAAGTAAATTGCTTTGGTGATTAATTTAATTGGTAGATTACCTTTTTTCTTTTTTGAAGGAAAAAAGAGCCTTGCCAAACAAAACAAGCAGTTTTAGCAAACCATGTAGGCTCTTTTTTATTAAATACAGACAGTTTGGTGGTGCAGCTCATTCCTTGTTGGGCATGCAGTTAGCTAGAATGCAAAAAACATGGGACAGATGGCAGAATAGCATCAGCATTCTTTAGAACCAAGAGTGGGGCTGTTTTTCTTGGACTAAGGAGTACAGTTATTTACTCTGGCATTATAAAATTTGTGAGTTAAATTGTTAGTTTTATTTCAGGTTTGTCAAGTGCAGCTCTTGAAAGCTTTCATTTATGTAGATGGCTGCTTGACAGTTTTATAAATAATATTTTGTGGTGTACTTAATTTTGATGGGAATCATTGCAACAAAGACTTCTGAGGCAGCAGCTTTGTGCTGTCTGCTCTTGGGCAGCCCTCTCATGGACTGAGCCTTACAGACTGTGAACAGTATCTGAAATGGATTTTAATCTTGTGTTTAGAATCACTACTGTCTTCCCCAAATTGACTTCCAAAATTAAAGTTGCCTAATAAAAAGTTTGGAGGTGGGGGGTGGTGGAGAAAGGCAAACATTGAAAAATGTGGGGTTGTCCTCTCACATATGGAATGAGATTTCTTGCACAAAGCTTATGTCATCAGACTGACTTAATTTAATTTTATTATTTCATGATTTTGGCATGCAGAATTCCCAATTAATAATTTCAAAAGTATGGGTCAATAGAGTACTGACATTAACTGTAATTGAAATGGTATCTTGCAGTGATCCATGTGTGAATGAACTTAGCTCTTTTAAACACTCTGGGTTTTAATAAAGTACACAGAACTTGTGCTTACTAAGGTGAACTGAACATATTTCTCTTCAGACTTACCTGGCAAAGTTTTGATGTATTAAATTATCAAAATGTGTGACAGATTTAACATAACTAAATGGAACCAAATCTGAGCAAAAATGGTTTTTCTCAGGGCAGAAGGAAACATGCTGATTTTGAATATGTTGCACAGCATTTGTGTGGGTAATTTGTAGCACTAGGTAATCACTTCTGTAGGATGGTTACACTAGTTTAGGGTATAAATCAGCACCTTTACCACCAGACCTAAGAGAAAATACCCTTTTTCTCACCACAACAAAAGAAATTAATCCATTAGAAAATCACCTCTGACCAGTGATCTTGGAGAATCTGGCAAGCTTATGGTAGCACAATTTACATCATCTGTGAATACAGCTGCTGCCACCTTTTGAAGCATATTTCCAACTGTCTAGAAATGTTGGTTATCTGCAGAAAATAGTTTGGGAGGCTAAAAGACAATTTTGCATGAGCAGGTGTCCCTTTTCAGATCACCAGGTCATTTTTCTGAAGCAGCTGTAATTTGGAAGGGAGCAGTGTACAACGTGGCTTTATCTTCCTCTGCACTCTTCTGGCTCACATATTCCTAAGCAGCTGCCCATCCTTTGGATTGTTTTTCAGCAGCATCCCCAGGAAGTGCTTTGAAGTCTCAGAAATATATACACACATATATATATTTATGTATAATTTGGGTTGACATACTTGGCAAGCTCACTTGAAAAATAGAAATGTTTCATGGCATGACATGAGAGCTCTTAAGTGACTTATAAAGAACTAAAGCATTTCTAACATCTGTCAGCTTTTGCCTACAATTCCCAGTATCTTTTTTCCTTCCTATCACTTGTGGTGAATTAACTTCCTCTCTTGTGATAGAACTCTGTAAAGGAGTAAGTTTTATAACACTGGAAAAAAACAACGTTTCCTTTACCAAAGATCCCTAAAATGGATAATATGAGGTATAAAAAATGTTGTGTGTGTTTATTTATGATGCTTTAGTTAAGAACTCTGGTCTGAAGGCACCATTGACTATCTTAATCATAATGAAATTAAAATTCAGGTAGTTGTCACAAAATCTGCTACCTAATTATGGCAACAAAAAAAAAAAAAAAAAAGGAAACCATTCTACTGAGCCTCTAGTGGAAAGAACATGCTGTCTTAGGGAAGGAAAAATCATATTTTTCTATTCTGTTGCTCAATATAACATGAAAAGAAATTGTTGACCATCTATGACTGTACTACTTGTTGGTATCTTAGTAGAGCTGGGAAACAGAGACACATGTGACACACAGAGAGAGCAGCCAGAGTGCTCAGACCCAAAAACAGACGCTGCATTTATTGATATTTTTCCCCTGCAGCCTTTACTTTCCTGTGTTGCCATTTTAACTTCAGGATTGGATTCTCCAGCATTATTTAACACTGCACATTATTACAATGACAGCAAAAAAACATTGAGTGACAAATTGCAGACTTACTGCCACAGTAAGTGCAGCTTTCAGTGACTGATGAGAGAACTTGCAGCTGTGATACTGAGTAGCTGCCCCAGAAGCTTTGAATGACTTCTGCCTCAAAAAGGCTGAGCTTTCATCTTGTGTTTAGGCTCTGCTCCTGTGTTTTACTGTGTTGTAACCTGTGTATTTCTGGTCACTCAATGAATGCTTTCCTGTTTAGCTCCTGACAGATTTGTCACTAAATGTTTAGTTGGAGCAAATTAAATGTAAATTTCATTTAATCTGTAATTTCTCGTGTGGTAGATGATGTAACTCCAGCTAAAAGTGCTTGTCAGGGCAGAAGCAGGAGAGCTTCTGAGGTAGAAGTGGGCAATGCTGCCAGAGAGCTCCCCTGCTCTATGGCCAGGAGTAGCTCAGGGACTTGCCAGCATAAATGTGATTCTTTGTAGTAAGAAGCAGTGGATTTATCAGCTAGGGACTCCATCTGCCTCCTCAGAGCTGTGCAAACTCCTGGCATCCACAAAATCCTGTGGCGAAGAAGTTTCACTGCTGAACTCTATGCTGCCTGAAAAACCCATTCCTTTTCTCGTTTCTTGGAGCTTGGTTCCTGTTGAATGATCCAAATGCTGAAACCCAGAGTTAGTAAAGGCTCAAAAGCCCCACTACTCCTAGACAGAGTGCATTGCAGTGGGGTAGCCTCAAGGTACAAGTGTAACAACATGCTACTACATACTCATTCTGAACATTAAAAAAAAAAGGGAAACATATTTTTCACTGAAATTAATAATGTCAGAAGGCATAAGGCAGGGGTTTGACTTAAGGAATTGTCCCAGGTGGGAGACACTTATGTCACTGTCTTGGGTTTGTGCAGTGTAGCACATTTTTCATAATCACTTGGTTGCAGGGATGTCCAATATGATCCCAGAAAGCATCAGTTGTGATTTGGGAACCTCTGTGAATTAAGATCTTTTCACAGATCACCATGCTAACATTATTACACTCATTTCAGGTTGTGGGCTGGTTGTTTTGTGCTGGTAGTTGTTCTACAGCCAAGTTCTATAAATATTTAGCTTTCCCACCAGCAATACAAGCTTCTCCATGCCTGCTGGGTATTTACATTTTGGCTTGTCTATTTTAAATTTCTTTACCACTTAGCTTTATGCTTGGTACCTGTCATTGCATACAAGATCCTTGTATATAGTAACCCTCTTTCCTGCTCAAGGCATAAGGTACTTTAAATCTTTCTTTACATTTCTGACTGTGAGAGTCCAGGGGGTTAAATAAATTCCATTATTTCCTGAGGCTACATGGCAGTCTGTCAGAGAAGCCATTTTACATACTTATTTCTCCTTTCAGCCACACGGGACAGCAGAAGAAAAGTGATACAAAATGCAAAGTAAGTTAGAAGTGGGATAAAGTTTCCCAGGTAACATAGTTGCTTCCTTCTATTGCAGATGTAGGGGCAAGAAACTACAGACATTTATGTGCTATTTATTACAACAAAAGCCCAGGCTTTGAGATCATCCATGGTTTGCTGGACAGAGTCATGCAGGTCCTGGAAGTACCACCAAACGAAGAGAATGGCTACACCATCAAGGCAGCTGAAGGTAAGGAAGAAAGAGCTATAGTGTGCAGCAGAGGTGTTGTGGAACTTAAATGTTCCCCTACAATCTGAGGAGAATTTTTGGCTCTTCTCAGCAGTAGAGACTAAGGATTGATATCATTATATGTGCTGTCATACTGCAGCATGATGGAATGATAGTGAAAAGGCATTGTCTGCATTCACTGATTATAAAATGCAATTGCTATCTTTGTGTGAGCTACCCTGAGTAGCTTAATGCAGTTTGTGAGTTCACAGCTTTTTAAGGGACCTTATAATACAGCATACGCCCTGAGCTTCATGGGCTGTTTATAATGATTTAATCTGCTGATGGCAATAGGGTCCATAGGAATTCACTGAACTGATGCATATGCCAGACACCCACTGTATTCTCCTTGGCTAACAGAGCCTGGAAAAGGCAACTTCATACACCTTATCTTTTGGTTTCTACCTTTATATCTTTTTTTTTTTATGGGTACATTTTATTTATACATTGATGTGAAGACATATGCCTTATATATCTTTGATTCAAAGAGCTGCTATCTTTGAGACTGACCCTGCTGCTTAGATAGTTGTATAACAGCCCTCTTCCTTCTCCATACAGGGTGAGCTGCACATGAATTAAAAATAACATCCTTAAATGCAGAATGTCCTCTGTGTATGTGCCTGTACATGTAAGAGAGAAAGCAAGCAGGCTGACCTGATTCCTTCATTGCAAGAATACAGGTTGATAGAAGCAACTCATCTATTCTGCTACCTAAAATAACAGTGTAGAAAATACAGAATAGAAAAGCACAGCTGCAGGGATGGCAGCTATGATTCTATTTACATGTCATGCAGTGGTGGTCAGAGATGTGAGACACTGACTCAAACTGACTCAGCCTGAAGAAGTGCCTCCATTCTGCACCTCCTGGAACGGTGGCACTGACACAGGGTCCCTGGCAGCCTGACCTAACTGCTGCTCATAGAACTTTAATGAAAGTTTGTTAGGTGTCTCCCTGTGCTGCCAAGATGGCACACAGAACATTTGAACTAAGTGGTCTTCTGGCACCTGAGTGCACACTTGTGTCAGACATATTGATGCTTTTGTCCCTTGCTTCTTTTGAGAAAGTACTGTTTTGCTCAGTATTATTTAGGCAGACTCTCAATGGGCTTGTTAGAATATTGTTAATAGGATTCCCAGGTGACCAGAAGAATGTTTAATACAATTCTGGTTCTAATTCTGTCAAGCACAGAATATGTAATAGCAAAGGCTCTTGTTTGGAAGCGGGGTGTGGTAGTGGGGAGTTAGGAAAAGCCTCTGGGAGCTGGGTACTCAGCTGCCATTGAAGTCAAACTGAAATGTTATATTCCTATTCCAAACTCTTCTGTAGCTGCTTTTTGAATAGACATATCACGAGTTTACTTTAGTACTGAAAAATATTTACAAGTGTTTTATATTCTGTGTTGTAACATGACAGCTGATGTCAAGAAACTGGAGGAAGGCCTCAGAAATAATCCTAACACAGGGAAGAAGTTATTTCTAGATATTAGTGCTGCTCAGTATTCCTGATGCTGTGAGATTTACAATGCTCACTCAAAATCCCTGCATTCTACTCCATGACACATTTAGTGCAGAGGGTGGATTATGCCTTGTCATGTGCAATATATTACAAGCAGTTTGTGGCTTTTGGTAAAAAAAAAAAAAAAAAAAAAAAAAGAAAAGCATCTCTACTACTTTCTGTTTCACCAGTGATTCAGAAACTCTCCTGGGATGGGACTTGGATTCCTTGCAGTTGTCTTGACATTGGAATTTAACGTTGCTATCAATGCAGATGGCTGATACTCTGGTGCCATAGCAAATGCAGTGTCACTGCACCAACTTGGCTTGAGACCTTCACTGCAGAGATGGTTGGAAGTCAGAGTAACTTGGAGAATTTTGTTTTGTTTTTTTAGTAGTTGGTGTTTGTTCCTTTTGGTTTTTTTAAAGTTGCTTCGCAATTTGTCAATTAAGCATGTGTGAGAGAGATGCCAGCAGATGATGGAGTAAGGTAACTGCTTAGTGAAACAAAGATAGCCTGCAACATCTTAAAGAGACCTCAGGATAGTGAAATAATTCATAAGAGCAGTGCCAGTTACTTCAGAGGTTTGAAATCAGGACATTACACATGGCACAGATTTTTAGAGGCATCTGCACCAAGCTGTTTTATTGCCTGTGCCAAATTACAAATTTGTACAGTGAGAAATAGATTTATCCTAGGGCTCTGATTTAGAGAGATTTACAGGTTTTGTCTCTGTCCATAATCTTAAGGCTTGAGACCTGTAAGCAACACAGTGTAAAGGTAGGGTTAGGCCAGTTATTTTTACTCCTTGTATAACTGATTGAAATAGTTCCACTGATTATTGAAAAACAATACAGGGAATAAAATCTAGCTTTAAATGAGCAGCAGAGAACAGAGAGAGATATGTTGGGCACATATTTGACACTTTTCCAAATTCCCTCTGGAAAACAAAATGCCTGTGCTGGAGTCCTGCTTGGTCCATATGTGCAATGAGGTTATTTGAGCTCCTTCTGTTCTGCCAACACCTCAGTGCCCTGAGATTTGACCTTAAGGTCAGAGTGGTTTTGCCTCTCTAGCAACACCTGGGAAAAGCAGTACAGATGCTAGAAAATATGGGTGAAATTGTGATGTTCCCCTGGCCTTTGCACTGTGCTTTGGTGTAATCTGAGCTAGGTAATAAATGGAGAAGAGCTGCTTAGAGCAGCCTTAAGGAAGAGAGGCTTTTGACTGACTGAATTTGAGGATTTCAAAATACATTTGACACTCAATGCCTTCCACTGTCTTAAAAGTTACTAATGGAACCTTCTTTTTGCCACTAAACATACAAAATTAAAGATTTAAAGGCAGAAGTCTGAAATGCTCCCCATTGCTTTAAAATGCACAGAATTAACTTTTTGACAGTGAATCCTACTGGCCTAGAAAAGCATTCTGATTTTTCTCTTTGTTTTATGCCACAGCCATCTATAATCAAATATAGATGGAAAAGATCAATGATCAAATCAAACTTCTATGTGCTCCATAGTAAAAAAAAAAAAAAAAGGCATAAAATTTTTGAGACTTAACCATTCCATACCATTAATAAAATGTAAATATCAGTATGGATGTGTATGATTAGAAGGTAAATAATTTTTAAAATATGAAAATACAGGTAGAAAGAGACAATAAATTTAGTTAGATGTTTTCAGGTAATTTCATAAAATTATTTAATTTTTAGTTCACTTTCATTGGTTTCAATTCCCTTGAACTGAAAACTAGAGGCATGATTATATTGGAAGTTATTCTTAATTTCAAGTTTTATTCAGGAATGGGTGTGTTTTCTGCAATATTTTAGTGATCTTGTGCTTTTGCATGACCATCTGAGGTGATAATTTTCTTCCAGAGATCAGGAGAACAATCAGGATGTGATGTTAATCATGGGGTTTGGGTCCATAGTAAAGCCTTACTTAGGCTGAAAAGAATAAAGAAGAGCTTAGGAAATCTTGACAGTGGATTATATATCACAATCTTCAAAGGAGTGGTGTGAAGTGGAAGGTGTAATTATCTTCACTCCTAATGTAACATTTAAGAGTCCCTTATTTAAGGAAGAAACCCCTGGTTTGGCAGTTCCTTTCAGAAATCTCTATACTTTGCACATGGAATTTAACTGAGCACGAACTGTTTGAAAAGGAAAGATAATATCCCTATTTAATCAAAATGAAACAACTTGACAGGTTCACAGAAAATGTTACAGAGAATCTGTGCATGGCTACTCCTCCCCTGTCTGCCCCACTGTCCTCCATGACAAAATTGGAATAGCAATCTCATGAAAACAAGCAACCCATAAAGAGAATCAGCTTGTGACATGAGCTTCCTTTTCCTACAGTGTTGATTCTCAGGGATTTCAGCTACCTCTTGAATTTATTAATTTAATTTTTTTTAACTAAATGTTCATGCCATTCATTCTTTTAAGGTAATGATCAGCTTAGCAAAGCTGGGAAGTCCAGCCTGTTTGTGTTCAACATGAATGTGTACATAATAAATGCATACTAACTGTTGCTTCATTCAGTAACTGACAGTTGTCTTTAAAATAAAAACCAAAACAGAAGAAGTTGCACTCCCTTCTTTTTAGTGCCCTTATTTAATTAAATGAAAGGTGTGGTGAAGTGTAGAAAATTTTAATTCCACAGTAAATCATAGTAATAGCTTCCTATTTAGTAAGGTTCAGCTGTGAAATTAGAGGTGTAATAGTTAGCTCCATAACTAAGAACATCAATAAACATTGGCTTTTATAGTAATAATTACACAATAAACAACTTTAAAAGAAGATTTACAGCATGAACCTAAATTCACAAGACAAGAGGAGGGAAGTCTGGGACTAATTCCAAGTTAGAGGTATGGAATTGAGCTGCAGCATCTATCTCTAGTGATCAGCTTAAACTGGGAGACTGAAATATATGCAGATATTTAGTGTCTATATTGAGCTTGGCATTATTAATACCTGCCTTATTTTAAGAAATTGTAGCTTGATTGCTCTTAATGGCAATCCTGGCCTTTCAGCTGTCTGTCTTGGCAGCTGTTGCATTGGTCACAAATGTCAATAATTGTCTCTTTACTCATAGATAACTGAAGGAAATGTGCCAATTTTACCAGGCCTCCAAATATAATTTCTGACATAGTGGGAGGTATCAGACAATTCTTAGTCCACTTAACTGGCATTCTTATAGGTGCCATTGCAGTCTTTCAAATTAAAAGCTTGTAGATAATCACATGTGTTTGAAAACATCCATTCTTAATAAAACACATCAGCTGGTAATTCACTGTATGCCACTCCTGTTAGTTTCACTTTTGCCAATTCTCCACAATTTTTTTTAACACTGAGAATCAACTTAGATCATCTGCCTTGGAATACCATATTAACATTTTTCTAGCAGTGCTGAATTTCCAGTATTGGAACTCCAGGTTAACAGGAGCAGGCAGGATATTTGCT